TATAACACATAAAGCCGTACAAAAGAAAAGCCAAGATTAAGTTGGAATTACCAACTTTAAAGTTGGAAAAGCCAAAATTAAAGTTGGAATTACCTTTGTCTCTTTGTCTTGGGATTTTTTTTTTAAAGATTTTAATTTTTCTGACCTGAATAATACCAAAGATGATGTAATATTGTCATATTGTTAATTTTGAATTTACCGGCTGATAGTAAACGCGTTGAATTTAACCACCTAAAAGCTTCAGTTTTTCTTCCTCTAGTTTAATAATTTACACAGGAAGCGTATTATTCCGATAGAATAAAGCAACAATGATTTGGCAGTTTTTGTGGCTTTACTTTGATATAACATGTGAAATGAATAATCATACAATGCAAACAAATATGAATGACTGTTCAATGGTACAATACAATGAATATAAACAATGATCACTGACTGTTCATTGCTATGTAATATTTTTTGAAGTTGGTAATTCCTACTTTAAAGTTGGGTTTTACAACTTTAAAGGTGGAAAAGCCAAGATTAAAGTTGTAATTACAAACTTGTAAGTTGGAAAAACCAACTTTAAAGTTGGAATTTCCAGCTTAAAAAATACTTAGCACTAATACGGAATACCGCCTACCTCCAAGTCAATTTTTCAAAAGTTAACACATTTGAATGATTTTTCATATTTATATGGATATTTATATGAATTTTCAAAAAACATTACTTCTTTGGAAAAACAAAGAGAGATAACTCTATCATTTTGGTAAAACTTGTCTTTTTCACTATAGAAATCAACGGAAAACGGGAAATATTTTTAAAACATCCCCCCTCCCGTGAAACAAAAATTCCTTTTTACAGGTGGACTGTCATTTCACAAATTCATACCAAAGTTTTTTGTCAAAACAAAGCTTTTGGTGTTTAACGGGGGGGGGGGGCATATGTTTACAGACAAAAAACTACAAAAATGCTTATTTTTTTCACCAATTTCAAAGGGTTTTACAACTAAAACATTGTATTTATTATTAGTAATCTATGTTTAATTTTATATGCGTAAAACATAAGAAAAGATTTAAGGAACATTTATTCATATCCAAGAATATTTTAAAATGTGTTGATGCTTTAAAGCCTGATTTCAATGGAAAATACCGTCTATCCCCCTTGTTTAAAGAGCTGGAATTAAGGGTAATTAACTATTTAACACTGGCATTAAATTATCAGTCAATTACCATTGAACTGTTCTTTGCATTTAACAAAGATTTTACGGCCAAATTGACATTAGTATTGAATTAAATGGGTGTAAAATGTAGGCGGGAATCGACAGTTAGCGTTCGTAGTTCTTTACAGTATGACAAGAGAATAGATACAAATGATTTAATATTATAATCAACTTATCATAACATTCAGTAAATAACATCAATATCAGATAAAGAAGCGCAGGTTCATAGCAATGGACCTTCATTTTGATACTCATCAAAATTAATACTCTGTCGCTACAACCAATTGTTAATTCTTCTTTGGGTTAGCATTGGTGTCTTTAAAGTAGTTCAGATATTTTCTTCTAATGTTGACTTTATTGATCACAATAATACTAAGACTTCATTGTTGTCTATGAAAGTAAAAGATCACACGTCTAACAATAAAAGGTCAATTAAAATTGGACAAAGAACGATTTATATGTTGAAGGATAACTATCTTTAGAATATTGATGTACTTTGTTGATATTGGCACATCACCTTAGGACTACAGGTAGAATCTACGCGATTGTTTTATACATACAAAATTTATGAACGCAATCAAAACGGAAGGTGCCAAATCAGAAACACTGGCTTAATATATCGAGTACTTTAGTTCGATTTTATTTCCATATGAAAGGTAGCCAAATATATACATATTTATGTATGTATATGATGGAGGGGGGGGGGCTTTTTTAAGGACGGATGATATATTTCATTTTCAATAAAAACTGTTACACTAACTCTATGTTTATAAGACTTGTTTTGTTTTGGTTAGTTGTTTTACATCTCTTCGAGAATTTTTTACTCATATTATCACCCCACCACTTGCCGATGTAGGGCTGCAAATTTAAACCTGTACTTGGCACTGGTCTTTGAGTAGTGAGGGATCTTTTTTGAATTTTCTGGATTATAGTTTTGATATTGATCATTAATACACAACAATTTTTCCATTTTTCTTAAATATTAAGGATAAAGTTTACTTCGTGTAAGTGCAACGATGCGTCAATCAAACGCGTCCCAAAATTCGTAGATTTGATTAATTCCAGATAATAGAAGTTTCTCAACACGCTTTTATAATATTTCGATGTGAAATGCTCTAGCAACATATAAGTCATGATATTATACTGAAAATATTAGAAAATATAAACTTCAAATCTGTGAATAGCCGTTTAAGCCAATCAGATTTCAACGCAGAGAATGTACGTTTTTTCAAATTTGTTATCTACGTCATAATATAGAGTTACATTTAAAATTTCAAAGAATTTATTGTTTTATAGAAAACCTAGAAGGATGAAGCAATTAAAATATTAACCATTTCAGCACACGTGCATGTATGTTTTAGTATTCATTTATGGTGACATCAATGGTCATATAAAGGAAAGTTCAGAAACTAGCAGCACATGCAGATTGGTTGATGCTTAAAACAAAACACAGCACTACAACGCAAACATGTACGTAGCATTGAAAAAAACCCTGAAATAACAAAGAAAGCTATGATGCGCCATTTTAGTATTTTAAAGGTATTTTCTGATATCAAATATTTCATTTTTGATATCAAAAATGATTTTCTGATATCATAAAATGGATTTTTATACCAAAAAATAAACGAGTTTTTTTTTATATCAAAAATTCAGTTGGAATTTTTCGTATCACAAAATCAATTTTTTGATATCAGAAATTTAACAAATATTAGTGTTTCAGCTCATACAGATAATCAATTCTCCCCAAATTGTTTTCACAGTTTTGTACTTTTCTCTATAAGGAAGTGGAACGGCGAACTTGTGTATATTACAGTGTTGAAAAGGAAGGTTACACGTACAAGTTTCGTTGTTGATGATGTAAGAAGACCTTACTGAATTCATAAAGTGTTAATTATTTTATTAATTTATACAATTATTTACGAATCTCTTCCCATTGAGTTGTTAATACAATTCAAGGAGGCTTCAATACTTATTTGGAAACCGGACATTTTATAATTAGTTACTTAATTGTCAGCATTCCAATTGCATGTATCAATTTGTGCACATTTAAATCTCTGCATTAAACTATACAAGAATTAAACACATACACACACACACAAGGTTTTAGCTATCTATATCTTCAATATGAGAGACAAACAACTAATAAAAGATAATGCTAATGACAGTTACCAGAACCTACAATGCTGCATCTGGATCGGTATTCAGGAAGGATACGGATATAAGGGAGCATTCATTTATGTTAGTTCTATATTTCATCATTTCACTAATATTTTCTGATATCAAAACACGATTTTTTTTATATATCAAAAATTTGAAAGTATGTTTTTATATCAGAAATTCATTTTCTGATATCAAAATTCCATTTTCAGATATCGAAAATTAAAATTCTTAATATTAATAATTAAATATAACCCTTTCATTCGGTTGATCCATAGATATATCGACTTCACAGAAAATCATGATGGGGCAACTATGGGCAATCAAAATTTTACATGGGAACACATAGGAAAAATCTTTAAGAAAAAAAATACCAATATGAGTCATATTTACATGAAAGCATTCAAGTCTGTTCAAATGATGACCCCCGCGGGTAGAATTAAAGTTTTACAAAGGAAAAAAATTAAAAAATTATTTACCACGGTCTAAGATGATTTTATCTTTCCCTACTCATGTGAATCTATGTTTGAGTGGAGGGGGGCACCCTGGACCCCCCTTTTAAGAACTGTTGGATCCGCCCTTGGATTCAAGTTTATTCAAATCATGACTCCCGGAGGTAGGTTAGGGGTACAATGGTACAAAGTTTACATAGGAATATATAGGGAAATAAATCTACTGATGACGAACAGGGAGGATCATAAGTACTCATTTGGGTGTTGTGATCCATGGGCCTTTTGTTTTATTTATTATTTTAAATGTTTCTAATGCAAGTAATCTCACTCATCTACTTTTTATACAGGGTAATTTGGATCTTTCCAGGAATGGTTCATATAAGGTCTTATAATCATTATAAATAAAACGTGCTTGCTCTTAACTGAATTTTCTAAATTTTTTGAGAATTTTTTTAACACTGCAAAATCTTTTACTAAAACTTACTTCATTCGCACATTTCATAATAACATCTTCCTGCAGTTTGTTGTTCTTGTATTTTTAACTAAATATTTTCAGGTTTTGCTTTTATTTCTCATTTTCATTTCTAATGAGAAATAAGCTGTCCTCCTGTAAGGATTTTATAACTCCTTGTAGCAGTTTATGAGATTTTGCTAGGGTATTGTCATCTGCATAATCATAGAGGATACAGTTTTATACAATTAAAGAAGAACAAGTCGTAAATAAAAATATTGAAAAATACAGGTCCAAGAATAGAACCCTCATGGTGCATCTTTCAGAATATCCAGTATTTCACTTAAATGAGGACCAATCTTTAGATATTGTTTCTTACTTGATAATAGCCATTTAGCAAATGTAATACTGGTTTGGACAAGCCATATGCTTTGAGTTTTAAAAGCAACAAATCATGAGTAAGGCAAGCAAAAGCCTTTGATAAATCCATCAACATCGCAGCTATTCATATTCATTATCATTATTAATATCAAGAAAGAGACTATGTCTCTTGGTGCATATTTTAACCCCACCCCAACACCACTTTCTAACTTACATGTATAAATTATCAGTTTTTTTTATATCGCCAAAACAAATAAACACATGGAATGAAATTCAATTTCATTTTTATTTTACTTGAGATCTATTTTTTCACATTGCCTTTAAGAACCAGCCGTTGCTCTCCTGAAAATGTACTGGCCTAGGATAACCCCTGCTCCTCTACTACCTTTTCTGCTGAAATTCCGTACCACATAATTTGTTGTCCCTTCCTTTACGGCCAACGTTACTTTTGCTTCATCTGATGTGTTTTCATAATGCAAAATCTGCAAGTAAAAAGGCTCCAACGATAAGATTGTTTCTTTAAATAAGATGTCTCTTCAGTATAGACAAAAATAACAAAAAAAAACTTACTACATGTAATATGATTTATTAATATAAACAGCTTTTTAGAATGTAATAAGATTAAACATTTTCAATGACTTCCAGTTTAGATGTGTTTATAAAACAAATACCCACTTTTTGAATTGCGGGATATCCTTCTTCCATTTCCGATATCAATTTAGATAGGAAAGTCATGGTTCTGGTCGCTCTCTGCTCAGCTTTCTTCAGATAGGGACACACTACAAGTATAAGAACTTGGAAATGATTTCAGTTTATCTCACATTGTTTTAAAAAAAAATAATAGATAATGAGAAATCGCGTGCACAAAATCAGTAAGAAAAAAAAATAATAGTAATATTAAAAGTGAAAAAGAAACCTAAGAATAACAAGAAGGTCTTCGTTAGAAGACGAAAGACCTTAAATATACCATGTTTGGCCTACAGTTCAAAATTAGATAAAATTCTTCAACACTCAAAGGTGACAGTTCTGTGTATTTCGTTGCAATCTGGAGTAAACTAAAATCAGTCACTTTCTAATGTAAAATTTGTCTCCGTTTCACTTCTTTTTAATAATTTTGGGCAAACTTTATCGGTGATCTTATCAGTGAATGCAATGCATTTTTGATATTAATAAAATCACATAAAATCAAAGTACTTCTTTCCACGAGTTGTTCCTCACTCAAGCTGGACATCTGTTTACACCCACTGCATGTCGATCTCTTTTTCTTTCCCCATCCTGCAAAATAATGATTTGAAAGGTGTTTTTCGGATTATCCAATATTGATTTTAATGTACAATGATGGGCAATTATTTTTATCTAAAAGAATTAATATTGGCATCATCCAACACAAAGAAAATTAATAAAATAAACATTATGACGATGAAATAACAAGTAATTATTCTTTCATTAAACGTTATCATCTTTTGGTCTAGATATCGGAGATCTATAGCATTTTCTTTAAAATACTGAGATTCAAATTTATTTCATCAGTTAACATACTTCGCCACCTCCTACGGATTCGGATTCTTACACGTGGTAGTCGCACTCTCACCCGTACACGGCGAACTATTCTGCGGATCTTCCTACTGATTTTCCGGACACCCCTCCGTATCCTTCTGAGTGCCCGGCGCACCCTAACCCGTGGAAGTCGGACTATTCTGCGAATTTTTCTCGTCAGTTTTCGGATGCCTTTCCTTATTCCTTTGAACACCCGGCGGACTCTAAACCCGAGGATCGCCTTCAGTCCCTTCTTCAAGAATTTTTTGGCCTTTCCAATAACCTTTTTCGTTAGTTTCGATATCCCTCCTTTTATTTTATCGAATATATTCCCACTGAAATGAGTACAATGGTGAAAATGTTCAAAGCTAAATATATTTTTTTCTCAAGACTTATCACTAATATTTTTTATTATTATTAATAAATGAATATTTGACTCATTAATATCTTTACCATTCTTTTTATTTCCTTTATTTTGTAGTGTACTTACCCTCCGCAATTTACTGCTTCGCAAGATTTGGAAAACATTTCCACCGAGTTGACACACCGCCTCGACTGAGTCTCGAGCGCTTTCGACGATCTGTTATCAGCTCTTTCGATGTTTTGATTAAGCACTGCATTCATAACGGACTGTATTGCTAAAAAATATGAAAACGAAGCCAAAAATATAATATATAATATTCTCCACAAAGATGAGTGGAGTAAAATATTTTAACTAATGAAATAACTATCTTTGAATGTCAAGCAAAAGATCGGAGTAAAAAAACTGTTATATCTGAATTTTCTAATGTATGTTATTTTTCACCTTTGATTTGCTCCTTTGAAATCTCTCGAGGTTCGTCATCGTTATAGTAATAATAATCGTCAAAGGAACCGTAGTAATCCCCAAAGGTTCCTATCGAGGAGCCAAAAATCACCAAGAACCCCAGTACGATACCGGGGGACAGCATCGTGGTGAACACTTGATAAAATCACTAATATGATTGAAAATAACAAGTAGCAAAAAAAAAATAATGACACCTTCAACTGACTTTGTCAAACGCAGACATCCAAGTGACAGAATGAATGCAGCTTCGAATGTGTAACTGAATATTACAGACGAATACTACAAAGATTCAGACACGCACATCGGTCATTACAAAAAGGGTAACCGATATTTAAAATTGCACCTAGTTGACACATCACCTGATGCGATTATGGATTTTTTTTCAAATTGTTGTTCCTGCTTGTGAAAACAATTTTAATTACATCTACAGAATTTTTTTTTAACTTAAGCAATTGAAATTTTTCATCTATTCCCAAGTTGTCTTTTTTCTAAAACCTTTAAAAACGGTTATTTTACATAATATCCTAATATTTCTAAGAAAACACGTTAAAGTTTCTAACATGGGTATAAACTAAATTTGATACAGAAATACAAGCTGGTTATAGTTTCTCAGTATGACCTATTACAATTAAATTGCTCTAAAGATGCTATCCATTACTTTTTTGCTTGTCCAAAATAGACACCTCCAAGCAACTTTTTTATAACAAATTAAACTCTTTTGACGAATTCTAAATTTTGTTATAACGAATTAAATTCGTTTAAGAGTCATTATCAAAAACCGCAGAGATAAAATCTCAGGAAAATCAACAAATTTTTTGCTTTGAAAAGTTTGGTTTTTTTTTAATGTTACAGTGAAACACATATCTGAAGAAAACAAAAACACTAAACTCCCACCTAGAAATTATTTGATTTCAGAGTAACAAGAGATCAAAGAACTGGTTCTCCTAAAATTTTGTCCTTCCTGTTACGATAAAATAATACAAGTTTCACTATGAAGAGGTGCAAAAAAATTATAAAATTTGTTCAAACTAGACTGTGAAAGCGTGAAAAATAAAGAATCAGTAATATTTTTTCAAAGAAACAGAAGCAACATAATTTTTACCATGTTTTTAGAGATAATTTTCAAAACTGAACTACATTTTGTTCATTTTTTTCACCATTTTACAGCCGTAAAAGTTAGTATGAAGAACAGCATGCACACATTTGATTAGAAATGGCACTTTAGATATACATTTAGATCCAATTCTTTACATAATCATATATAAACAACATATTTTTATAATTATAGTGCATATAAGAGGAAAGACGGGCCCATAACAGGAAAGACAGCATTTTGCAACAGACATGTCTCTCCTGGTACAGAATCCTAATTCTGGTTTTGAAATGATTGGAAAGTAAATATTGCATCAATTTCAGTCTGAAATCTGTTAATATACTACAAAAATATAGATAAATCTATAACAAGTGCATAAAAATATGACAGAGAAAGTTTTTCGATCTTTTAGTTAAAAAGTATAACAGGAAATGACAGAACATGCAACAGGAGAGAATTTTTTGTGTATCTAAATCAAATTATTCATTTTGTTAAACACTGAATTTAGAAAATCCTGAAAATTAACACCGGTGTCCCCAATTAATGGTAATACTTTAAGTACAAGTTTAAGATATGGACAAATAAAGAACAAAAATAATAAATTTTTACGACTGTAACAGGAGAGACTTTTCCTAATTACACAATCTTGTTACAAAATAGTTACAAAAAAATGTTGCATGTAAATTAGATATATCTTGAATAATTACTGAATTACATGTACAATACAAAAAACACAGGATTTACATTTAGAAAAGTGCTTGTTTATGCATATATTAGCTTTTACAAATAAAATAAAGTAACAGGAAGGACAATTTTTAGACATTTAAAAAAAATTAAACTTCCATTTAAAACAAAAAACATTGAATTTGGAGAGGTATCTCTCTTTTGTCTGTATTTTCTTTTACCTATCTCAGAAGAAAACATGCATTTTCCATTGTTTTCACTAAATACTGTATCTAAAATATTAGTTTTCAAATAGTGTATGTATTTTTCTACCAAAGTTAATCTTTCTGTTTGATAAACCCAAGGATTTTCTACTTTATTTGGGAATGGGGCCTAGCTAGGACCTTGGAATTGGGAATATTTATTGACATTTTATCACTGATTGGGAAATTATATCACATGACAATTTTCAAGAAATAAACACTAATGATGTTTATCAGCTCATCTGAGCCGAAGGCTCAAATGAGCTTTTCTGATTGTAATTTGTCCGTTGTCTGTGGTTGTTGTCATTGTTGTAAACTTTTCACATTTTTATCCTCTTCTCCAGAACCACTTGGCCAATTTTAACTAAACTTAGCACAGAGTACCCTTGGTTAAAGGAAATTCAAATTTGTTCAAATAATGGGCCACACCCTCTTCCAAGAGCAATAATCATCACTCAGAAAAAGTAAAATTTTGGTGAGGTCATTTAAAAAACTTCTTCTCCACTGAACCACTGGACCAGAAGAGATAAAATTTATATGTAAGCTTTCTGACACAGTTGTTCAAATCCATGACCCCAGAGGAGTGTGGCTTTATGAACAATCAATATTTTACAGGGTGTATACTCAGGTGAACATTGTGGTGCATGTGCCTCTTTTTACATTACTTAAATTTTTTAATCAGAGAGTAGAATTATCAACACATCACTAGAACAATGTGTCTTCAAAGTTTAGTAATTCTTTTCATTTTCAACTATAACTGTAACATACAGTTATTTTATTAGGAAAAATGAAGGGTTTTGCAATTGGGAATGGGGCCTAAATTCCGCCCTACACAAGGCAGTGAAAAATCCCCGAAAACTGTGTAAAACTTTTGTTTAGGAATGGAAAAATATACTGCCTAAGTAATATAATTTATTGTGCCCTTCCTGTTACACTGAATTAAATATATGTATTAATATATTTATTTAATCATATTAAACTGATATTAAAAAGGCTGAAAAGTGATTTTTAAAAAGAAACTGTTTTTCTCGAAAGATTATTTAAACGATATATATGTGCTTAAAAGAAAAAAAATCATAAATTGTCCATACTATAACAATCCCTGTCTTTCCTGTTACAAACTTACATTTAGAAACCCTTTACTATAAAGAATTATCTTTTTATTATTGAAAAAAGAACAAAAAATAGAATGAATATTACATAATATTAATATGAAAATAATATTAAATCTGATAAATTAATAAAGGACCACATTTTTTCTGATTTTATGAAAATTTGTCCATACTGTTACAATATGTTATGTCTTTCCTGTTTCAAAATATCTTTTTATGTTTTAACATACATATTTGAACCAACAAATCCTCACTCAGGGTGTATTCATTTTACATACTACTTTATTAAAAATTGTATGAAAATTAATTGCTAAATAAATGATAAGATAGGTCTCAAATCCTCATTTTATGTAATGTCAGTCTTTCCTGTTACAAAAATTGTCTTTACTATAACAAATTTACACGTAACAGGATGGACAATAACAGGATAGACAATTACTCTATATTTGGTTCTTTATTTTCCTTATTGATTACCATACAAGATGTTGATGCAGTAGTTTTGAAACAAAATTTTAAAGTTATTTTGTAAGAAAAGTTACAATTCCTTAATTCCAATGTTAATGCTTATTTTCAATGTAACAGTAAGGACGTATTTTTTCTACCGAGTAAATCATACTTATATTTTGGACATTTTCTTCAAAATTATCAAATTTGAATGAATGGCATCAACAACTTGGGTTTCATGTAAATGAAACCGAGGCTGATAATAAGTATGGAACCCAGAAAGGTTCAGTCTAAATATTTTTATTTTCTGTTTTTTCATTAGTGTAACAGGAGAGACAAAATCTCTTGGGACACACATTTTAGTCTTGATATTTATAAGACAAGCATATTTACAATATTTTTAATGTTTGTATGGCATATGTTAAGGATAGTTTAAGGCATACAAGGAAAACAATGAGAAAAAAATTAACTGGATTTGGAGTGCAGGACATCGCAAAATATGCTTATATGCACATTTAGTCATTTATATATGCATTTTTTCTCTAAATATATCATACAGCAACAATATTAGTATTCTGCCAACTACAGAATAATGTATTCTAAATAGTAAAGTAAAAATTTATATAATTTTTAGTTCCTATACTTTTTTATTGGCTTGTGACCAAACTTTTGGCGGATTTTGATGACTCTTAAACGGATTCTTTAATTTGTTATAACGAATTAAATTCATTTAAACAAATTCGACAAGTAGGGGCTGTAGAAAAATAGATATGAATTCGATATAATGAACTGTAGATCTGAATTTGTTTAAACAAATTGAATTCGTACACATTATAACAAGTTTCACAATTCGTTAAATCGAGTTTAATTCGTTATAACAAATTTTTGAATTCGTTTTAATGAATTCAACAAATTTGTGATAACAGATTAAATTCGTTATAACGAATTCAAAGAAAGTGATACAACGAATTTAATTCGTAATAACAAATTCGGCAATTCATTACATCAAATTTTAAAAAAAATGACAGGTCCTAAATGAGCTTCCATATATATATATATATCCACTAAATATTATATCTCCTTTATTTCTTATAAAACCCATGATGGTTGTTAATCAGTCAGTAGTCACCACTATGCATACCACCTGTATAAATTTCTTGAGCAGCGCCTGTTCCATCGATCACACACACAATGACGTACATTTCAATAATATAATAATTAATGTATAATATTAATATTTAATCCTACTTTATACGATTATTTATACAGATATAAATACATGTATAAACTATAAAATGTCTTTCTTTGTTTGTTAGTACGGGAATTAACAACGCAGCTATTGCAGAGAAAAAATTACATAACCTGCTTATGTGTTTTTTCTGCAACATAATTCCTGTACTTACAACCAAAGAAAACATTTTATTGTTTAATATTAGCAACAAAACGTATCATTTGAACACTGTCATATATGTAGAGTTTATCAATATTTCCAAACGGGTACTTCTCTGTATTTCTTCCTTCTCTTTTTTTTTTTTTTTGGGTTTCCCTTTGTCATAAAAACTAAATTCTAACATGTGGAACATTATATGCACATAAATGTCCTCAAATAAAAAAATATCAAGTAAAATTTTCAATACTTTATTATCACAATTCACAAGCACTACTTTTATTGGTTTTTAGAAGATTTAATGTGTCCCTTTCTTTACTCTATCTTCTAAGTAAAATAAGCACTACTCCCACTCCGTTGTTCCTGGTGGTTTAGATGTGAGGTCATATAATACTCTAGATATCCCTGGTACTGCCGAGATTCTATCTACCATCTGGTTTAAAACCTGTTGAAAACAAGAAATTATAACTATGTACATGTATGTTTAATCATACTTTGGTCTCCTTAGTTTTCCTTTAAAAAAAAAAGACAGCAGTAGCCATTTTATCAGATTGTCATTCAAACATAAGATTTTACAATTTTATTACATAGCTATAGATGTATACTTGCTCTATTTGTCAGACTCATTTCTATTTCAGATACAACTTTGTGCAAGATAGGCAACTTCTACCAAAAAAATTATAAACTTAATCTTATAAATTCTGAATTCTGAAATTTTGCAGAAAACTTTGGGTTGTGAATTCTGAAAAACTGGCACATACAGTAGAACTTCAGTATCTCGAACATCGATATCTCAAATACATTGGATATGATGAAGTCAATTGGAAGTCCCAGACACTTTTTTCTCTATGTATTTTAACCTCAATATCTAGAATCTTCAAATATCTAGAAGTTTTTTATGGTCTAATCGAGTTCAAGGTAACAAAATTTGACTGTACTTGTATATTGAAAGAAAATCATATCTTAAAATTCTATTAACCTGAGCTGGAAACTGTTTATTTGGTGTTGCTGCAATCCCAGTCATAAAGTCATTGGTTATAAATGTTCTAATCACTATAGACCTCTGACAAGAGGGAATGTTTTTGATGGGGTCCCTGTCAAAATGGACTGGTATGATAATAACTGGCATCTGACTGAGTTTGGAGGTAGTGTTTGTGGCCTGTAGCACCTCTGTAGCAAGATAGTCTGACTGTCGTAGTGTGCTCAGTACTCCATTGGTAAGGTAAGTGGGGGTGATGTCTTCTACAGGGAATCGTACAGAACCTCCAAAAATATACACTACCCTGTAATATAGAACATGAATCATCCTATTCAGGTATGCACTCAAGAATTAAAGGTGAATCTGTATCCTTTAACAGATGTGGAATATCATGGTTTGAAAGTTCCTTCCAATCCCATAACTGTCAATTTTGATGAACTTTTTTTTCTTCACAAGTCTCTGATGACTTTAAAATATCATCATTACTGCTTAGAAACTAAGGTTTCATTTTATTTCTATAAATTTAAAATCAGGTATGAAAACGTTTTTCATGCAGTTAAAGTGATTGATAAACCCAAGAGATATGAACAAACTCCATACCTATTAATATTATGACAAATCCTAGGAATAAGTTTGGCTAGAACCATTAAGTTTTGCCAGTTAGGTTCACTGTCACTGGAAATCCCTACTACATAACTGTAGGTCCTACTGTCTCCCTGTAAACAAAGAGAACAAAGCATAGAACGTAACTGTAGGTCCTACTGTCTCCCTGTAAACAAATGAACAAAGCATAGAACATCCCTACTACATAACTGTAGGTCCTACTGTCTCCCTGTAAACAAATGAACAAAGCATAGAACATTACTTAATTGACAGGCTGATTAAAGAGAAAAAATAAAGAGAAGAAAACTACAAGAGAAAGGAAGAGAGTTGGGGATTTAAAAAATTCATCAAATCTGATGCCCAGTACATTTATTGGATTACCAGTAGTCTGGATTTGGCAATCTGATGATTTGAACTAAACAATGTATTTTAGATCATTATTTTAGGCTCAATATTTTACATTCAATATTTTGTTTTGTCACACATGATCTTAACACATAACAAAGATGCAAATTGAGATTTCTGTATTTCTTTCTTTTTTAACTTGAAGTATTCAATTATTGTGTTTTCTGATGATATACCATGTTCATACAAAGTTTTTATTTACAAGAAATATACCCTTTTCCCACCTTAATTAGCAATATCTAAAAGGTAAACTTTAGATTTATGTTTGTGATGATAGTGAAAAAATAGGTTATGTACTAGTAGGGACATTATATAAGAGCTTGATCTCTATCAGTCCTCGATATCCTAGGGGTAATTTAATTCTTAGAAAATGCCAGCGTACCAAGTATAATGTCTGTCAAGCAAATGGTTCTCTAGTTATTGAATGGAAAATATCTTCAATGTCTTAAGTACCTTGACTTTTGATCTTGTTACCTCAAAATCAATAGAAGTCATCTTTTCCTCAGGGGGAAACCAAGTTTGATGTCTGGCAAGCAAATTAAGGTTTCTCAAGGTATTAAAAGATAATATCTTCCTATGTCTAGAGTAGTTTGACCCTCAACCCTAATACATTACATTCAATAATGAAACAGGAATGTCTTTAAGAAGATATTTCTCAAGCAACATTCAGCTTTTGACATTTCCCCAAGGGACTCGCCAAACTCTATAACAGTTCCTTCAAATCCTTTACTTGAACTCAAGAATGTTTTTAGCTCACCTGAACACCAACAGTTTTGATAGGTAATAATGTAGAAAACAGCTGTGCCTCTTCACTGATTCGCTTCAGCTCTTTCTGTTCCTGTTCTGATGTACTGTTTTTCAGTCTTGTTATTAAAGTATGTGGCTAAAAAAAAATGCACACCATCAGAAAGATTCAAATCGATTTTAATAAAAACTTATCAGTGCTCCAGATAAGGTGCGTATTTGCAGAAATATGCATTTAATTTTTCAAAATACGCATTAAAAATTAAAACAGGGTGTACAAATACGCATTACGCTACGAAAGTACTGCGTATGATGGATTAAATGATACAAGTACGATTTAACTAATTATGTGAATTGAGGTCAGCTCAGTGATTGAATTTTTATCAAAAGGTAATTTTGATTTATAAGCGTAAGATTTGAATATTAAATACTTGTATTTTGTCTGAAAATATCACAGATTTCCACTGTTCATATAACATCCAAATTTTCGTTCTTGACGCGTACACGTCCATATTGTCAAAACTGCGCAAAACATGCATGGTGTCTAATTTATCCTTTATCACTGTTTATTAAACAGTTCTTAGATATTTACCATTTTCTGTAGCAATATCACATAAAGTCCGCCAACAACCTTTATTAATTGTATGAAAATAATGGCTTCTTTGCTTTCCACATGCTCCTTTAGTATAAATAGCGCCAGGTGACTTTTAATGCAAACGGGGAGTAACTCTAAAACTTTTACCTTGATCGATGCCAACAATTTATATAGCAAAACCTAATACATGTATATATTTTTGATAACAAAAAACAAAACAAGGGGGTGGGACATTTTGAGAGGGGCAGGTGTGGATGAAAATCTAAAGATTAATTTTATCTGGCCAAAGGAAGGATATTTTTCTCGGTAACCCTTGCTACGATCGATATAGGCCTAATCTTAAATGGAGTTCTATGTGCCCTTGGTAACTTTGCCTACCGTATGGTCTTTTTGGTGAAAGAAATGAAATGTTTCTCAGTTATAGCTTAAAGCTGACAAAATTTTTAAAATTTCATTAACCTAATTGATAAATGCAGAAACTGTCCTTTTTTTTCCTCATTCCTCTCTCAAAAACACTTATTTCGATAACAAGCTAAAAATCCAGTAGATGTCAATAGAGCAATAGGTTAACAAAATACTTTTTGATTATTTTGCTGAAAAGCAAAATCTGCATTGATTGAAAATCAGGGAGTAAATACACTTTGAGATAAAAAATTATCTGGAGCTCTGACTTATTTATTGGTAACCAAAAACTAATGGAACATGGTTTCAAGTACAATTTATATCAGGTACCTACTGTTTTGATTGAATTTGAGAAGTCCAACAAGAATTTGAGCAAAACACTAGTTTCAGCAAAATCTTTACACATGTAAGGTTCTTCTGCACATAAAACACGAATGGCAAGTCCAGGACCTACAATAAGAAAAGAATACAACAGACTATCAATTTTAATTTGCATATAAAGATAGGGAAATAAACAGTTTTTGAAAAATTAAGTTTTAAAACTGCATGATAATCATTTAATGCTAAAACCATGCTTTTTCTTTTGAGTAATAACAGTATAAGAAATCACGCCCACCTGGGAAGGGGTGTCTATTGACAAGATCTGGAGGAAGACCTAAATCTTTGCCAATGGTGCGAACCTCATCCTTGTGGAAATCTCTCAGAGGTTCAACCACTCGACCTTGTTTGCGTAGCTCTCTGACTAATTCTGTGTCATTATGGTGTGTTTTTATGGCGTCTGCTTTACCACTGGCTAGTTCTGAAGCACTCTCTATAAGGTCAGGTCTCAAGGTTCCTGAAAGAGAGGAAGAAATTGTTATTATGACCACCACATTAAGGACAGTTGAATAACCAGTTATAAAAGTTACACTAAAACAAAATATTGAGTCCAAATGCTGCATCTGAAACATTATTCAAAATCAAAAATAGTAACTGTCAAAAATGTTCAAGGGGCACTAGTTTAATTCCCGGTAGACAAATTTTCATTTTAACTTAGCACATCTGTTGCAACAACTTAAATAAATTTGCAGTATATTGTATATGTAAACTGACCAAGTTTTCCTATCAAATTTTCTAACTGTAGTCTGGTTTTTAGATATTTTAATGTAAAAGTCGTACTCCTATTATGAACCTACTCTAAATTTATGGGGTCTGATTTGAATTTACACTACAAATTACAAAATATGCTTTATTATTTTTTATAATAAGAATCTTACTTTAAACTTGACCCTATTACTTTGAATTTGCAAAGTTTTTTTCTTTTTTATGATAAAAATTACACATACCTTGGCCTAAGTAAACATCCTCAGGTTTCAGATTTAATTCTTCTAAAACTTCATTGGCAACCTTTGAATAAAAAAGTGATACATTTTCAGGATCTGATCATAGAATTTAAGTGTGTTTTCAGCATACAAAATCAAGTGTTGGTGTTTCATACTCTCATGAAAGTATCCCCAATGATTTTCCTCTTCTCCTCCGGACAGACTACAGTGTTAAGTCTCTCTGTCTTGCGCTTTCGTGGTGCTGAATCTTCAGTCTTCACTGATATTGATGTAGAACCATTGTAAAATGTATGTGCTGCTTTCACAACTGCATTGAAAAAAGTTTGAAAGAACACATTTCTTTGCTAAATTTATTTCAAGTTTATATATAGAACAAATAACGCAAAGTTAATTCACACATCCCCAGGACTTCACTTTAACCGAGTTTTACTGTACATATGTACATGTATTTACCGAGCTGTTACTCTTAACATTTAGTTTAATTTCAATGGTACTTTTTTTGACATTTTAATATTGTTACCTTTGACATCAAGTCCTAACTTGCTGAGGGACTGTGCCACACTTTGACTCTCATTTTTCCTCATGAAGCCATTATCTATGTGGACTGCTATAACTTGTTCTTTACTTAGGGCTTTGTGAAGGAGAGCAGCACAAACTGTAGAATCCACTCCTCCACTCAACAGCATCTGGCAATTAAAAGGCACAAGTTAACTAACACTCCATTACCTCAAAGTATCATTGTCACACTTTGTAAAAATTGTGTCAGCTAGCAGTGTGAATAAAAAATGAACAAGCTTTTTTTATTTTACGCTAAATATGTGATCATGTTGAATTGTCCATATTAATAACCTTGACCTTTTGCCTCTGACTTTAGATTGAGTGACCCTTATGTATTAAAATCTTCCCTTAGCCATCCCCTACCTCTCTACAGAGTATAATATCATATTAAATATAATTATGAGAAGCAGAACTTGATGTCCATGCATCATGTCACACACACTGTAAAGGTTTCAACAGACAGGTCAATAATATTGGTCTTTTGAGGTTTGACATTGACCTCTGATTATGTGACATTAAGATATTTTGGTATACTCTTCCTTTAACAATCCTCCTCTATAGTATTTATAATTTCAATAGTTAAGAAGATAGAGCCTGAGGCATCAAGCCACAAAAAAATGTCCCAGTCTGTACTGAATTAAGAGGCATTTGGTTAGAAGAACTTATGTAAACAAGTTACATTAAAGAGTTGACAAACATCAATAATCTTGACCTTTTGTTCTTATTCATCAACTCAACCATCCTTTCCCTCTGTAGTAAATATTTGTATTGGAAGTACTCTACTCATTGCATCACATATAAATATTGAGAGGCAAATAAAAACAGTAATAACTGTATGGAATCTGTTCCACAGATGCTGGGTCCCCATTTATTTTACCTGCAACAGTAATGAACAAGGTGGGGATTCTTCTTCAACAAAATTGGTTTTACATGCAATTCTATTTATCATAATAGAAATTTTCAATTATATGACCCTACTGTGTTACAATGAATGTAGACACACATAAGGAAGTTTGTGGTAGAAATAAGATGAATCTGTATATACCAGGACTTTGTGGTTTCCTGTAACTTCTTTGATATATTTCAGACATTCTGCTTCCCTTCCCTGCATAGTGAATGTTCCTTTACACTTGGCAATGTCAAACAAGAAGTGGCTCATCATTTCTTTCCCTTGATCTGTTAAATCCACCTCTGGGTGGAATTGAACTCCATATAACTTTTTATCTTCACTGGCAATACCTACAAATATTATTTAATTTGAATTTCAAAAGAAAAGAAAAAACACCTGCTTTGTTGGCAATTCTTGTCTGAGATAAAAAAAAAAAAAAATCGTTAAAAATTCAATTACCTGGTATGATTTTTTTTTTTTATTTCTTGTTAGGTAAATTTGTTACAACTTGTTTGGTACAGGACAGAGTGCACAATCAACATCATTTTTATGACCTTGAACATTTTGACTCGGTCACCTCTTTTTCCACAATAAATTTTTTTAAGTCCTGACCTGCAATGATGTTTCCTGAGTGAGCTACAGCAGTGAAACCCTTGGCAAGAGTGTCTATACTGTCACCATGTGTTAGCAGCACATTCTGTTCTTTCTTCAAGGACCTGAAAAAAAAAAGATTACTAACAATTAAAAACTCAAAATAGACTTACAATTGTCAGATTATTTCTTTGTCAACAACTAGTGACATTGAAAAAATAAATACTTTATGGCAATGACTGTAAACTTTACCTAAACAATGAACAGTTTGTGTCAATAGTTATAGTGAACTGTCCATCTTCTCTTGCTTCTTTACGATGAACGGTACCACCAAATTCTTTATTAAGCATCTGATAAACAATAAGAGACAAAATACAATTCTGAAACAAAATCTACATAATGTCTCAGATTTAAATGCATCCATTTCTATCCCTCAGGACAAATCTCAACATTTTAAAACACTTTGTCTTAAAATATAGAATCCCCCTCTCAATGCTGCATCTTTATATAAAAAAAACCTGTAATATTTGTACTATCATCCATAAAACATAAGTAATCAAAGATAATGAAGCTCATCTGGACGAATGTTATCTATAAGTGAGGCAAATCTCACATCAAATTTTTTCTTGTTACAAGCATCCCCAGATCAATATCCATGAAAGTTTGGTTTAAGTAGGACATATATATTACTAAATTTATTATTTATAAATTGAGGATTGCATATACAATTCCAAGAAAATAAGGGGAACAAAGGAGAACAAACTTGAACTTGGTCTGTCACTTATCTTCATTCAATGAGTCACTTTTATCTAGCTTTAAAGTATTTGTAGGTATAGCAGAGAAAGATTTTGTACAAAGTTGTCTTTCTAAAATGACAGACTCCCTGTACCAGACATGGCTATAAATGCCAAACACTTTGTCAATGGGTCAAACAAGTGTTATGTTTACCTGCATTCCATAACAAATCCCTAAAACTGGAAGTCCACAGGTAAATATTTCAGGGTCATATCTTGGAGCATTCTCAGCATAGACAGAGTTAGGTCCCCCTGATATGATAATCGCTCTACAATGTACAATGTAAACTGTAACAGTTCTCTTTACTCATAATATTTATTTGATACATCTTTATTTCAACTTTAATTATCAAAATTAAATGATAATTATGTACATAATCCATACATAGTTTTTTTGTTATTTGCTTTTTTTCCTTGTATACTTTATGCATATAAGTTTCCTCAAATATACCATTAAGAAATAGTCAAACATCCTATTTGCTGAAATCGGATAAAATGACAGCTCAACAATATCTCAATATTTTTATGGATTAATTCACTCCTTCTTTATTTCATATGAAAAACACAGATGTGCATGTATTATAAACTAGGTATATCACAGATCACAATCATTCTTTTTACATACTTGTAAGCTCCCTCTTTTAGTGCAAATGCTGGAGTATCTAACGGTAGAATTTCAGATTCTATGTTGAGCTCTCGAACTCTTCTATCAATCACCTGAAATAGAATGATAATGGCCCTAAATTTTCTCATTACATGTTAAAGTACATGCATTATTGATTATCCTTGACCTTATGTTCCTATAACTACAAGTTGGTACATGGCAGTACGAAGTTGAGAGGAATACATTTTGAATTTTTCACCAGCTAAGGGTTTAATACTCTTTACAGGTTGAAAAAGTTCTATAGTTTCTTTACTAAGCAACTATTGAAAAATCTTGAATCTACATAATATCACCATGCTATATTTGACATGAAAATTCTGTTTTAAAAAGGAAAAAATTAAACTCATTTTGGTGAAAGAATTGAATTTTTTATCCTTTGTGACTTTATCCAGTATTTATTTCATAAATCTGAAAAGGAATCTATATACTACAATACAATAGTCTACCTTGCCATACTGGGCCCCTGCATCCAATATTGCCACCCTCTCTGAGTTGTCTCCCCCTCCATTGATGTCATTACATCCATTTGATCTCTTCATCCCCCTCCAGTAATCATTGACATGCAGCAGCTGCTGTCTAAAACATAGGAATGGATATCATGTATCTATTTTCTAATGGATCAAATTTATTATATTCACCTATTATTCATGTTGCAAAACAGACTTAATGATTCTGAAAACCAGTAGTAATAGAGTACAAATTTGATCCCAGTGACAACTCAACACCCACAGCCCTCTTCCACAGTTGGATAATTTGTCTATAAAACCATTGTTCTACGTACAATGTGCACTCTATATGCACAAAATAAATCATTAACCCCCATTTTTTTGTATCTTTGGTCATTTGATAAAATATAATTAGAAAAACTAAAAGAATTATAACATACCAGATTATCTCTTACAATTAATTTTAGCCCAAGTTATATACCCAGAAGTGAAAATATACACATAAAACCACACATTATGCCTTGGTTTTGTTTCATGTTTGAATTCATGCATATACTAAGATGTATATGTTATTGCCAAGGATATAAACATGTTACTGGGGTCACATCTACATCTGTGGCACCTGGGTTAAGTGCTCTAGGCAATTTGCAAGAGCTCAATGTACCTTATAATGGGATTATGCAACAAATTAGAAACTGCACAACAGATTAGAAATTAAGGCAATTCCAAACATTGCCAAATTCTTTGAAAAAGCTATTATTGATAAAAACTTGTCTGAAAACTTATCTGAAATTTGATGAGATGAAAATTTGATAAAATGCTTTGAATTTTCTTCTGTTCCAGAACTGACACATTTTGCTTAAAATGTAAATTTGAAGATAATGATGCATGTAATTATATAATTCAAAATCTTTATGCCAAATCAGAAGGATAATAGAATTGCGATCAAAACACAGAGCAGAGCAAAATCTTGGTTCAGCATCCTTTTCAATGATTTTTATTTTTTAGGTGCACTAGCTGTCATAAGTACTAATGTTTTATGTGACAATTAAGTAGCAATAAGACAACACCTTGTATACTAGTTACAATACTCTAACAACTCTCAGGCATGCCCTCACTTACAATCTATACAAAATAGTTCCAGAACTAGTGTTACATAATGAAATTGAACTTTTATAAGAACAAACGACATTGAACAATCAGCACAAGTGTTAATTTATTAAAAACCTTTTTTTTCAGTATGTCCGTGCCTTCCAACAAAAATTACTCAACTATAATAAAAATTTAACTAAGTTCCTTAAGACTTAGCTCACTTATATTCAGCTACTTTAGTCACATTAAGAATGAAAATTCTTGGCTGTGTTTATGGTAGCCATGTCACTACAGTTAATTTTAGGGCTGGGACGATACAACTTTTTCTATATTCATTTGATACATATCATGATATTTGAGCCACAATAAGTTATAGTTACACTATAGATATTAATTGGTTAGCTGTAAATACACTCACAGTTTTTCATTCACGAGGGGCGGAGCCCCGAGTGAATAAAAACTGTGAGTGTATTTACAGCTAACCAATTAATATCTATTGTGTAAGTTACTTGTACCAGAGGACCAATGAGAGAAAAGCGAGTTGATAAATAGCACCGCCTACTACGAGGTGTCAAGACACGGTCCGGAGTCTGTATAAATAGCTGTCTCCATCTGCAAGGATCATACTTTACTGCGGCACTGCTACTACAAGTTGTTGATAAAAAAATCGGAATTGCATGGTACGTGTGAAGATATTGTACCTTTGAAATGTTGAAGACGCAGAAAACATGATTTTTGTCAGGTACAGGTATAGGGGTAGCGATTGTATGCTTTTATGTTCAAGCCGTCAACTCTGAAAGAAAAGTTATCTTTCTAGATCGGTTTTTTTTTTTTTTTTTTGGAAAAAAGGGGGGATGGATATAGGAAACATTGGCATTGAACTTTTTCTTTATGGCAATCGGCGTACAGAAAAAAATGAAATGATTTGTGACATTTTAATGAAAGTTTGAAATGGTATTGGAAGTAAAAAAAATGCGGGGACTTCTGATGTGAAATTGCTATATGTATTTGGAGACGGGAAAGAAAATGATGAGAATTTGAGATAGGACGTATCATTTACTGATTAAGGATACGCGGAGAAAACATACAAAACCATTTATGAAGCGGACACCGACAAGCTAAATAATGTTAGTATTTTTGAAATTTAAAATGTTGACTTAATTCATTCATCAGCCATTGCCTTGGTCTTGAAATTGACATCATTCATTCATTAGTCAAGGTCTTGACACAGTATGGCTTGATGCCAAAAGGTGGGCGTGACTTAAAAAAAACTGTGATTCTTCTGGCAAATACACCACAGCAACATGAAAGCAAAATCTAAATTTACCGCCAGTCCTATGGTACAAGATATGTATAATGTATCACGACATGTTGAATTGGTTATAAAAATTTTTTTGTATTGAAATGAACAAAAATTTCTTCACAAATAAGAATAAATTATTCAAAAATGTTGTATATCTGTTCTAAAACAAATTTGTATTTATTATTGTTAATTATTATGTACTTCATATTTATATTTAGTATATTTATTTTATGTTAAACCCAAAATGTTAAAGGGTTTTTATCACGTCTCAAAATTTTTTGATATGACAAAGTTTACATGCTAAGTCATATATTTAAAAATCTTTGCTAGAAAATTAATATTTTTGATGTTTCAGCGATTCAAAGTTTGAATTTCTCAATATGCATATTTTGATCGCCGATGTTACGCGCCATTGCTCTGACGTCATAGGTGTCAATCCTGGTCAAGCGTAGTACTTATTGTGTATACAAAAGGGCTCATTTGTTGTGTCTATTAAACCTGTTATAAGACAAAATTTTTTGGCGATATTTAGATATTCTTCATACAAATCGATAGATGTATCATCCTCATACAGAATCGATATATCGTCCCAGGCCTAGTTAATATCCCTTTAGGCATAGACAAATTTCACATTCGTAAGAGTTATCTCCCATTGTCTGAGTAATGCTCATTTTTCTCACTAAAACCTTTGTAACTTACCTGTAAATATTTTCAACCTTTAAACGCTATCCAACAATTTTAATCTGTTCCTGTATTGCCATAGTATGGGGCAACATAAAAAACGTAACATATTCATACAGATTTCATTTGTAAGACATTGTCCCATTAAGTTGGTAATGGTGTAGTGGGAAAACAGCGTCTAACGGCGGCTGACCCCAGATTAACCCCTCAAAGGGAAATAACTTTTGTAAATGTGAAAGTCATCTATTTTGCTACATAGCGAAGTGAAATAAAAAAGATACTTTCTTTAGCTAAACTTAGTCATTATAATTAAGTTTTGTTGAAAGAATGGGCTATCGAGTCTATTATCTGATTTAGCTGCTTTGTTGGTTTTGTTTGTAGAACTTCAGTGGCAATGTAAAGCTACCAGTAACTATATTTTTACCATGTTTACTAAAACAAGTGAAATAAGGATCCAGATGGCGTTTTAATGTGGGTTAGATTAAAAATAAGAAAATTGAATATGCGTGACACAACGCTCAAGTCTACCCTTGGCAGGATGTGCACAGGAGTAGATAATCGAACTACGATAGTGTACTGTTATTTGTTTGAGCTCATGCTAAGATTATACTGCGAGAAAAATATCGGTAAGCACATCCTTTTTCTAAGCAAAAATGATTAAGATCAACCAATAAAAGTCTCATTATCTATTAAGATTACATTTTTACCTCAATATCAGTATAACGTCTGGCAACCTTCAACCAGCCGAATTTTCGCGGAGATTTTGGAGTTTCCGAATTCAACGCATGCGTACTTATCTACCTATGTAATATCGAACCCGATCTACATTTTGTGTTGCATGAAAACAGAGACATGTTTTTATTTCGCTTCTAAGCTTAATGAACATTGCTTCTCTTCATTATTTTCTCTTTTTGTGTATTTATTGTAAATGATTATATATGTTGATGTAGCTTACTCAAGTCAAAGTATTATATTGATATTTTATTCGGTATTCAGTTATTAATTTTACCAGCTACATAAAAAAAAGATGCGCGTTTAAAACAAACATTTTTTTGTTCACTAGTTGTAGCCAGAATTTCTTTAAAAAGTTATTTGATTGTGTGATTTTGCCCCCTTCTACGTTCTCTGCAAACGGTTGCCAAGATTGGCTTAATATCGTTGTAGCAACCAACTACTTCCGGTGTAAACAATTTGCTGGGCAAGGTACGTAATAATCACTCGGATATCGGTGATACAGGTGAGGAGAAACTGTTAAATGTCTCGATAATTTATGTATATTAATATATAACAAAGACGCTATTATATGATAGAGTAGATTATACAACTGAATAATTTCATTACATGTTTTAAGGTTGAGCACCTCACGGCTTCGGGCCGCGTGAACGTGCACGACCCGTCTGATGTACATAAGTTAATAAACATATATATATATATATATATATATATATATATATATATATATATATATATATATATATATATATATATATATATATATATATATATATACACACACACACACACACACAAAGCAGTTTATCGTTACACAGTAGTCTAAGCACATTAGTTATAATTAAAAGATAAAATTACGATTTTTTATAATATCAGAAATCAATGGGTTTTTTATACACTATTCGATCATCACTATTTACTTTTCTTTATGCTTTTAGGTATACAGTTTAACAATTTGATTTACTCACTTGAATTTGGCACAGCTACAGCTCTAACATAATTTCTTCCCCTATATTTAGTAACATTTTATAGTTGTGGTATGTATGCAAAGCCACCTGATATTTTAACAATAAGTTGCAAATAAAGCCCAAAATCGAATTACATGTATATACATATATACACCACCCCCTCCACATGTATTTGCATTCTTTAAATATGGTTCTTCCTTATAGCATGGCCGTAGGAACCGGGGGGGGGGGGGGCACGGGGGGGCCGTGCCCCCCCCCCCCCCCCAATAATTTTGCCGATATATAGATTACTGCAGAAAACATAGCTACTATACTCGAATGCTTGTGCTCCCTCAAGAAAAAAAGTCTGATGACCTTTTTTTTTTTTTTTTTTTGCTTGTCAAGGAATTTTTGGTTGATAGTGCCCCCTCAACTAAAAATATATGGCTGTGCCCCCCCCCCCCCAACTGAAATTGCTTCCTACGGGCCTGTATAGAACAGAACAGAACATTTATTTTCTAATTTAGAGCACATAACAGACAAGTATGAAATTATTACAATAATAAAGAAAAGATATGCCAATGGATAGTATAACAATTTGTAAATGACATTGCTCATTTCAACAATAATATTGTACTATTTCAGTTAAAGGGAATACTATATATAAAAGTGTATGGCTACTACATGTAATCATTTATGAATTTGCCCACAGAATTAAGAGTTTCTTTGTCTTCAGTACTGAGTAACCAAAAAAGTTTTTTTTGTTCATCATCTAATGCCGAGAAATTTGGAAATTTACTTTTAATTGACTGAAAAATATAAATGGAGGGGATGGTATTTTTCGAACTATTTGCATCTTCTTGAAGAAAAAAAAATAAAACCAACTTTATTAGATTTGTCCTTCTGTACATTAGATACAGTATGTACATCATACATGTACCTTTAATTTTTGTCCATGTAGATCTGATAAAATTATAAATGCTTTAGCGGCTGATTTTATTTACTTGACAGCCTGGCACCATGGCTTCTCTGGGAATAGACATGATAACAAAGAAGCCACGGACACCCCGTGATCCTTACACAACTCTAACAGACAAACAAATCAACAATATTCCTAGGGTATTTACTTTTTATCATTAATTGCTTCATTGAAAAAAAAATCTTGCCTTTTATAAAAATCCTTTTCAATCTTCTTGGACAGTTTTGCACGTATAAACGATGATGATTTTAAAAAGCTTTAGAGCTATAAGTATACTTGAAATTGCCCTGGATGGCTACCTCATATTGCCTTGGATGACTACTTGAAATTGCCCTTGATTACATTTGCTTGATATTCTAGGATCCCGGTGCATTTTTTTTCACGAAGACCGAGAAACCTTACCCCGAGAAGGGCTGGTACAGAGACAGATATGCCACGAACACAAACCAGAATCTGTTCCGGGGACACAATCAAAAAGAACCCTTCTGTTGGATAGACACCCAATGGCAGCGAGATCCACCCCAGCTCCATAACACTTGTCGACATGGCGCTTCCGAGAGATGGGGTCCAGATAAAGTTGGTAGGTCTTCAAAAAAAATTGTCATCAATGATAATGATTTTTAAAAATTATTTTGTTTAAAATTTTAAAACTACGTTGTTTCTATCTAGGAATCAATTGTAATTATTTTTCAAGTATTTGAAGTAATTGTTGACATTTTTTTGTTTAGGAAACAGGACGATACAACATTTTAACAAACCAGAGGACCCTAATCGATTTTTGACAACCGAGCTCTACCGAAGACAACCAACAAACTTGCCAGGACAAATCAACATGTCGTATGGTCGACCTGCAGAAGGATATTATGCCCTCCGAAATCCAAGTGAGAAAATTGGCTGTATTTGACAATAAATATCTGTCCGTGAAATTAAATAATCCTGCCTTTTCTATGACTTTTTTTTCATTTGAGTATCTTTATTTCTTTCCAGACTCAGTAACGTGGTTTGGATCCTCGGTGCCGCTGAACAGAACCCAGATTTTACAAGACATAAATCCAAAGACATCTGCCGAGTACGAGCAGATTAGAAAATTTAATGAATCCAAAATTCTCGATAGACAGGATAAATTCCCTTATTACTCAGAGTATTCTGATCGATTTGCGGCGCGTACAAAAACTGTTCCAATACTCACTACGTAAGTAAATATCGTCAATAGTGCTCGAGTGATATTTCTTTGGATACTAGTAATAATGTACCAAGGGATACATAATATGCCAAACAAAAAATTTATACGTAGAAATCTGTGTTCAAAATTTTTTATGAGAGAATGACACTCTCTTACCTGATATGCAAGTTTAATTTGAGGCATTTTGAAACGAATTATTCCCAAACTAAAAACTTGTAAGGAAAACAGTAATTTTTCTCCATTTCAGAGATCTTTCTCTTAGCAAAGTGTCATCCCTCATCAAATAAGAAACACAACGCGATATAATCAATTTGTTGCGTAAGCTTCCATGTGCTCCATAGTATCTCGAGGAAGAAACGCAAATAAAATCTGTGGTCCAGAAAGTGATACTTTCCATGTTTGTTGAGAAACCGTCAAATTAGGTACATTTGTATATAGTTTGCATTTACTACCCTGATTTTGCAAAGGAATGTTTCTTACAACAATGAATAGAATAATGAAATCAAATCCTTTGAATGATGTCGTGTTTATAACTATAGTATAAAGTGTGTTAATTTTCGGTATGTGTTTATTTGTGAATAGGTAGGTAAGGTTCTTGAATAATTGGCGGACGCTAAAAAAAAAGAGAAAAAAAAACTTGGGAGTGGCCTAATGAATTCATCGAAAGTCTAATGTTTTTAATATGAATGTAAATACAGTTTCAAACGAACGAATTGAATGAAACTTTCGGATTTAAATGACGAAATGAGTTATTTATCGATACATAGATATCATTATGTTACAACAATTAAGTGTTGTTGTTTTTTTTTTTTTGGGGGGGGGGGGCAAAACACAAACGATTTTTTAAATATGAGATATGGTATAAGATTTCAACATAGGTCTAATCATTTTTAATCATTTAATAATTTGATCATACTTGTAATTAACATTTCCATTTTATATATTTTAAATTGCTTGCACAGGGATTATTTTACACCAGAACTGTTTGTCAGGTATACCTGTAGATGTTGTGAGAACACCATTTAATATTGTACAGTGTTATTAGAATAAAGATATCTTTCTTCATCACGCAGTAAATGAATTCTACAGTGCACAAAGTAGAGTCTGCTTAAAATTTCACAAAATGAAGCTTTTATTGTTTATATTTGTTCCTAAAATTCTTTATAAACATGAGGATGGTATCAATAAGTTGTACAATGTAACGACATCTCTATCACTCTCTATGGAGGATATTTTGGACGCTTCTATTCTAAATCTCTATTTTGCTGGGTAGTCATATCCTAATCTGCTAATTCTAAACTATCTCGGTTTGCTAACATCATGAATCTTTATTTTTCTAGATGAATGCAAGTGTAAATCCGAAATGAATTGTTAAATGTCTTTGTATGTACACTTAACTACATGTATATTAATTTATATTTTTTAAAAATTATTCACATGACACTTAGCTTTAGTTCTTTGCACCTTGTCAAAAATTTGATTACCATGCAAAGTCAATATGCTCATTACATAGTGAAACCTTTGACTTTTTAGGTTACAGAGACGGAAGATGTACCTCCAGGAGTCGTAGAAAACACCAACCCAGCATTATAAGTCGGTCTGTGATAATCTATTATAATATACTGTATTATAAAAAGCGGACTCAATCAAACCCTGTGCATGAACTTTTATGCAATATCAAGATGTACTTATGTAATGTTGTCCAAAAAATTCACTGTCTGTATTTGTTGAAAATTGATTATTTTATGTTTTGTTGTTGAAGAGGTTCAAAGTCTATAATAAAGCCTGATACTGTACCGAGTTAATTTAATAGCGATTCTCTGTAACCACTTAAACTTCTTTGCCACGCATGGTCACCGATTTTGATGAAACTTTGCCCATTATTACAACATATATCAAATAAAATTTCATTGCTATGTATCTTGGTTGCCATGGTAACAGCCAGAAAAGTTGAAAAAAATTGAGATTTTCAGCTACTTCAAATCTTTATTAAGCCTTAATAAAGACTAAGAAAAGCAAACAAACCATTCTCCCAAAAACATGACACCTTGTTGCCACTTATGCTATAAAGAAATTATTCAGAATTTATCTCTGAGTAAGTGGTAACCATGGGTACATTTGACATACATTTTAGATGCTGAAAAATGCTGAAAAACGGTCAATATTCACAAATGATAGATGTTACATGATCAAACTCAATCAACAACCTAAGAAAAACGATGAAAAATATTTGACCTTATGTAATTAAGTGTTGGCAATTTTATTCTAAAAATAACTTCCATGGTTGCCATGGTAACACAGTGTCAGCATGCAAAATCTGTTGCTATGATTGGGTTAATGCTACTATCTTGAGGAAAAACAATAAAATTCATGACAGGCACATATACATCCTTAGGACCTTGCAACACCGACAACATAAGAAAAATTGGGATTCATTGTTACTTTGCAGTGTAACCATGGAAACAACGTACTAGCTGTTTAAAGTGATATATTTTTGCTGCTTTAGGAATTTATTAACCTTTTAATCAAGAAACATATTATTTGACTCACCTGGAATAGTACTTATCTGGTAGAACTAAAGTTGAATATCATATATTGAGAAAGTTTATTGAAAAATACAACACTGTTGCTATGGTTACCAAGAAGCGAAAATGTTCAATTTTGTTAATTTTATGTCAATATTAGACCCTATGTGCGTTTTTTGCATCCAGTTAGAGATTGGATGGTAGTCAAAATTGAAAGTCAGGCTAGTTGTTCACATATATCAATCATTAAAGTTTTGGGAATCTACATACAAGTGTACGTATCCAAGGAAACGGGGTATTTTTCAGATTTTTATGCATGTTTTTTCGCCTTATTTCCATAGAAACGCACTATTTAAAGAATTGAAATTGAATTTTTTGAAATGTGAAAATTAGGGTCACACCAACGCCTTTAAAAATTGATCATCAGTTATATAGAAATATGCTTTTTAAAAAGATAGGATAAGATTAAAATTTTAAAATCCCTTTGTAGTATTAAAACCATAGCAACCATTGCCAACCTATAAGAAATATCATATTTTGTCCTTGGTATATGTTACAAGGATCTCTTTTCTATTGTTGGCTTGCATTTCAACCTAAAATTGTTTTTATTCTAAAGTGTATAACTTTATAAAATTAAATAAACAAAATTATTACTTTTGAATACTTTGTTTCCATAGTAACGTATGTTATAGTTGATTTACCAAACATGTTTATCATGCATTTAAGACACCAGGCCTTCAACTTTCAGAAACAGTCATTGCCACTTGTTTGGTTTGCTGCAAACGTTAACTGTGGGACTCTGAACATGTTGAAAAATGCCATTTTTCAAACTTTAGGACATGTTGCTATGGTAACCATGGCACGTAGCAACCAATTTTTGCCTGATTTGAGTTTACGATATCAAAGACTTTTATCATAGAGAGTTTGGAGAAATTCTGAGACTATGCGTGCCACAGCTCCTACATAAAAGTTCAAGTCATTACAGAGAATGCCTCTTAATTTTCAATAGATGAGGACATTCAAAAAATGAAATCACAGCACAACCCTTACAATGGCTCTAACCTTAACAAGTAGTTGTAGTTAAATGGGAAAAAGGGTCACTTTTAACTAGAGAAGATAAATATCAAGTTTGATTCATTTCTTTAAGATACTGCACCTCAAAGTTCGATTATAATTAACAATGTTTAAAACTTTGATTATATATATCAACGTCAGATCTAAAAATAATGAAAACATTTATGTTTTGTCAAAATTCTGTATTTTTTTTTTGGGGGGGGGGGGGGGTTATTATATGTAGAAAACCCGCAGATTATCGATGAAAACCCATGAATTATCGTTGATATCTCCCTCATTAAAGAGTTTATATGATATGTAAAAACACTTACATGTATTTGTAACAAGATGTATTTCGAACTGCATGATAACTGAACGTTAATATAAATTGTCTTTAAAATTTTGAAATAGACTCTTTTGTGTGAAATGAATCTAAGTACTTACCCACCATAAATGGTTAAATCTTTTTGACTTGCTTTAACTGATGTTTGATGTTTGTAATTCTTTACTAAACAATAATACATGTACTTTATGACTTGCTTTGGACGGAACAGAGAGGAAGTTATACAAGTACATGCACAGTACATTTCAAACAAGCAAATTCAACGAATTGAGGTCCCCTGCTTTCGGTGTCTTAAGCTTAATGAAAGCGGTCTAATTATTTGTATCTGTCTTGTCTGTGTGTCCTGTTGTCTGTTCATCACACAAAAAAGATTTAAATTTTGGAATCAATATAACGTTAAGGCCAATTTAAGATTAAAGTTTCTCAAAATTGCATGAAATTTCAAGATCAAAGTTCTAAGGTCAAATATCACAATACAGGCGTGGATCCAGGAATTTTTTCCAAGGGGGGGGGGAGGGGGGGTCATCGCGAATATTTCTCGCCGCGAACCGGTCCTTAAAGTCTCTTTTTCTATTAACAACAGATAAAAAAAAGATTTGATCGCGAAAATTAATCGTCGCGAACTAGTTTACCCTCGGTAAATCGCGAAATAAAGTCGTCGCGAATAAAAGTTGGTTTACAGTATTTGCGATAATTATGGATGTTGCCCAGCATAGGCTCATTTAGCCACCACGTGCGTCGGAAGATAATAATTCCGATGCAACCCGTCGGTTCCTTAAACTTAAATTTACCAACAAAAGAACAGATGCTGTGAACATAAGTAACATTCTTATAATCATAAAAAAAAAAGTTCAGTCTTTCATTCCACCACTGTTAAAGATGAAGACTACATGATACATTTCTTACAGATACTCCCCAATTGTTGCTTCCAAACATATAAAACAAGATTCTCGATCTTTAAAAGTGTTCTTGCTCTTCCTCTTCTGTCAACTATAGTCCCGCAGGACATGTCATTACTGGTGATGTAAATATAGTTGAAAATGACGACCTGAATGTAATCCTTTTAAAAAGTCCTAAATTCAGTGAGCTTCTATCTTTTAACTGGCGTCAGAACTTCATTTCTATTATGAATTCTGTCGAGAATTATGACAGATGATGGGCGAAATACATGGGGGAAGACCTTTGTCAGAATGTGAACCAAATATTCTTCCGATTTCGCTATATCGGAACTGATGAAAGAATTACAAAATTAGAATACGTGAACAATATTTTATGGTTCCAGTAGACAAGGCTTGTGGCAATAATTTGTTTGTAAAATAGTCAACGTTTTATCAATTCCATTCATACATCGACACGATACTAGTGTATCCCAGAGAACTTGAAATAGACAATACAGATTTGGATGTTTTACTGACTTTAGATGATAAGGGCCAACAAACAACCAAACGGTATGACTAACGAGATATGACGTTTATGTCTCCAAACTTATTCGATACCCAGGAGCACGCTCAATTTTTAAACCGAGGCATGTTATTAACAAATAAGTTGACGTAACAGAGATCTCAACAAGTCAACATTTCGTAAATTCCATGGTCGTTATTATGATCATATTAGCAAATACAACCTATCATTGGGTCGTATTTTGACAAACATATTTCTTACCAATTTTTAGACCTTTGTTTATATAAATACTAGATTTGACTACAGATTAATCCGTCTACCTGATCTATACATAGAGCTCACTACGGGTATGACTGGTCGACAGGAGATGCTTACTCCTCCTAGGCACCTGATCCCACCTCTGGAATTTCCAGGGGTCCGGTTTTTATGTCCTCTTGACAGATTTGTATTGGTTGTATTACATACTTTTTTTGAGATCGATCACCTAAAATTTCCAAAAACAGGTTTCATGTGTATGAATGTCATGATATTAAAATGAGCATATTAAAATACGTTGAAAATTGAAATAGATAAATGTATAAAACATAACAATTGGCACTCGAGAAGAAGTAGCATATTACATGGATTTAACTTTTTTAAGCAATCAGTATCATCAATGATTACCTTTATCGTTTATTTCTACAATACAGATCTGTCATCATGCAGTTTTTATACCAAAAAATTCTTAAGACAGTAACCTACAATAGATGTCAATTTTTTTGTATCAGAAATTCTTTTAACCTCGGAAAGTGAAGAAGAATGATTTTGTTTGCAAGTGAAAATGGCGATCGTGGATTGGCAAGATTTAAATGTATATTCTCTTCTGTTGTTGACGAAGGCAATTTGATGAATTTTTTGGGACAATAAAGTGAAAACATCAGTAGTGAAAATGTTTTGAGAATTTTTGGCATAAAATACTCTGAGATAGGCTGTTTTAGGAAAACAAATCCAAAAGTGGCGCATATATATTGTATGTATAGCTCTATGATGAGCCGTCTATTTTGTTTTTTCATGTGTTGTACAGATAATTGTAAACATGTTTATCGGAAAGCAGTATAGCTTGAATGTTTTTACATTAAAAACTTATAGATATCATAATTAAGATGAAAGTATTAAAATGTCCTACTAAAATGATTCATTATAATTTTAACTTTTTATACGAAATGTTCACAGTTTTAGGAAATTTAAAGATGCTGAAAATAATTTATGTGACTGCATTAATTTCCCGGTCTTCTTCATTTGCACAGGAAAGTCATTCTGACTCAGAAATCATGCATTTTTGGCTAATATTTCCTAAAATGATTTGAAAGTCTACTGATTACTTCAAAAATGAGAAGACATGCATGGAGTCAAGAGGTGTCGGGACAAACAATGAAATGGGGGAGGGAGGGCATGATGAAAGAGGGTGTGTGATGAAAGACAGGAGGGTGGCTTAAATACCGGAAATATAAGTAGAAAGGGTCAAATCACTAATCAATGACGAGCAATTAAGTTTGACTGGAAGGAAATTCTCTGCCGGATGATAAATTTTACATAGTTGGATAATTGATATTAAAATGTTTTGTGTTTGTATGAAGGGGTGTAACTACACCTATAAAGGCTATAGATGTAAGATTTATTTTTACTTCTGAATTCACTAAAATTCAGGAGCTTCCGAGGGCTTCGCCATCTGGTTCCACAAGGGCTTCGCCAAGGACACTCAGGAAACCCCCTGTTTCTGAAAAAAAAAATTCACTCCCCCAACTCAGATTCCTTGATCTGCCCTTTTATTTCAATCTTTACAAATTCTTTTAAAGCATTTTATTGGAACTGTTCCCAGAAAATGTAGCCATTTCATTAAAGCTGCAATAATGTATCCCTCTCCTTTTTTTTTTTTTTTTTTTGAGAAAAACATCATATCAAAAATATCGGAGAGACATTATTGCAGCTACCATTTCGTGTGTGTGATGTGTGATTAATTAATCATGGAAATATTTTCCAAAGTATATTATTATCGGAGAACACATTGTTCGAGCATTACAGAAGTTATCTCTCTTGGACTATCATTTCACAAGGCAAACTCTTTCTCTCTCTCTGTTTATAAATATCTTACAAGATCTTTTTCCTAAATGCAAATATCCTTTAAGCTTGGCATTTAATAAATTGGTAAACGATATAACTAAAAATAAAAACGATATTAATAATTCAAAACAATTTATCCCCTGGATTCTACTATACCGCAAAAAAAAAAAAAAAAAAAAAAAAAAATCTAGAAAAATTACGGGCATATCACTTTAGATGAAGAATAGCAGCTTTTGACCAAACAAAAAAGATTTGCTCAAGTTTCAGCAGGCTATGTTGAAGAAAAAAAAATCTTTAAGCAAAAATTCCCTTTTCAAACCAGTCTAGATTTAAAGATGTTTTGACTTGATGAATATTTCGAGCGGGTAGTCTAATGCTACATTTCGAGCTGTTGAGATACTACAAAGTTTATCAGCAATAGGCATAATTTCTACATTTCGATCTTGAAAGCGTACAGCACATCAATATTGATTGACAGCTTTCATAAGGATTTACCCCCCCCCCCTTACCTTTTTTTAATATCTGTGTAGACAATAGGGAATAAAATAGGAATTAATACTGGCATTATTGCATCAAATTTAAGATTGAAAGAAAGATGTTATTTTTTAAAGATACTTTAAAGATAATTAGTCTAGGCCAATCAGACATGTATAGCACTGATGAGACTGATGTGAAATCCTGGATACGATACGATCTACGTAATGAAAAAGTGAATCGAGTGGTTTTAAACTTATAAAAAGACAAGACAATTTTAAATATAGTCGGTCTTGTTAATGACCATTTTTGGATATTTCTTTGAATCGCTACTATTGATTTTGCGCATGCGCCAAATGCTACTTCCTGTCAGAAGAAGGAAGCGAGGAGGAGGGCGTAAAACTGTTGTCCCACCCTTTTTAATAGTTTTTTAACTGAATTATTGTATGCTGTCTCCTAGGATTTTACAAGGTGATTTCTTATTTCTTTGTAGCAATTATCTGTTTGTGTTTTTTCGCATTTGTTCACTTCTTTGGTCCCTGTCGGCGTTTGTAACGTGAAACAAAACGCCGGTACCATGTCTAAGTTCATTTCCTATTTGATAACCGACGTGATTTGTGTGTTATGATATGGATTTTAATAAATACTGTGCTTTCAACCTTTTAGATGGCATTTATGCGAAAGAGTAAGTTCCGCCACGTGTTTGGCAAACCTCTGAAGAAGGACGATGGATACGACAACATACGAGTCACTAAAAATAGCTGGGATTCTCCTTTTTGTTCAGTTAATCCAAAATACATCGCAATCATCACAGAATCAGCTGGTGGTGGTTCATTTCTGGTACTACCACTTAAGCAGGTGAGTCTGCCATGGAGTTCACAGATCTAAATTAAAAAAAAATAATATCAGGACTCCAGTCTTCATGCACACTTTGCAATTACATGCACTGGTCTCATCATCAATACAGAGGAGCATTTTTAAGTAAATAGTATTAGTTCTGATATTACATGCTATATCAAGATTACTTTTATCATCCATATCATTCACTTTCCTCTCGTACTTGTAGGAAGTATGTAGGCTGAAGGTTTATGACTATCATCACAACATCTAATTAAAATTCCAAAGTATTGACACAACACACAACAACTTAAGTCAAGAATCAGTAAAGGATAGATGTTTCAGACATCCTGATAGATTCTGATGTTTGCTACACTGACTCTTTGGTATAAGGCCTGTACATGTTCCAAGCCTTACATAGGGATTGTCTTGTAGAAAGATTATACATTTTAACTCAAGTACTTTTAGTTGGAGAAGTGCATGTGGTGCAGAAACCATAGTTTAGGTATATTATTTATATTCTTCAATAGTATACAGTGCTCCCAATTGTCTTTGATAGGGGCCATTCAAAGTCCCCATTCCCTATTCTTTTCCTAAGTGAATGTGTTAATTTTCCCAAAGGTCATCTCATTTCTCCCTAAAATTAAAGAGCATATAGTTGGATATAAAATCTCTAAACTTGCTTGTCATATTCCTCGATTGAAAACAAACACCAGAAACCCAATATATAATGATTAATGTAAAATGATTTTTCCAAAATTCCCCAAAAGGTCACTTATTTTCCAAATTTTTATAGCCCTGACCCCAGTCCAAAAAGTGGTGTTAGAGCCCTGGTACACTGTATGAGTAAGGTATTCAGGAATAATTACTTGAGAAGTCGTTCAAATATTGTGGTACCAGTGATTGACTGTTGATTCTGGTTGTTTTACACCCCTTGTCTGTTCTGCCAAACCTCATTGTAGCATTTTTTGGAAGATTTTGCTGGGGATGAATTGTGAGACTGAGGGATGTTTGTTTGTAAAATCTGAAAAGAACAACTGGTCTGGATAAAGTATTTATAGGATTCTCCAAGTCATCTTTCATTTGATACCCAACATATGCTGGTATACATTTGACACACTCCTGTTCAGTTACATAAACATACATATCTGACTATTCCTAGTACCCTTTCTTCAACATTTCAGCCTTTTCAGGTAACATCATTCTGATTTTAAAATAAGTTTAAGTAACCTCCTAAAGCCTTTTAAAAGAGCAGCTTAGTTAAAGTTTGAAACAAGAATTTCTCTATAAAACTTCATTTTTCGAAACAGGAAAGTCTCTAAAATATGGTCATTTGTTGCATCTTTAGAAAAGTACTCTCAAACTCAGTCAACGACCCCGTAGTCACTGCATTATTTCATGATGCTTAATTATGTTAATGTGTTTCCTGTCTTCTTAAAGAGGAATTATATAATTTTGAAAAAAAATAAGCCATGCTGTTTGCAGTGAATGTCATGAGATAATTAAGGAAATCAAAAAGAAATTTAAGTACAATATAAGTGCAGTATAAACACTTATGTTTATAATGTCTCTAGTGTGTATCTGTCTATTAAAAATTACATCAATTTTTTTTTTGAGGATATGTGTATTTGGGTGTTAGAATTCGTCCCTCTCTATTTTTATGACAAGGGCATTCAAATGTTTAATGCAATTTAAGGCATTGGTAATGGGTTAGTGTGAATACACAGGTTTATTGTTATTGCCAATGTTTCCATGTGATACTCTGTTAAGGGGGTGTAATTACTAGGATCATTCTCTATTATTGTATAGATCTGACACACCTGTGATACAATACCTTTATATATATAACTCTTTGGCAGAATAAAAAGTTTTTGTGTGTATCATACACATTATTTAATAATAATAATAATAACAACAATTGTGCGTTGTCACAGCAGAAGTGTAGGTTTCAAATAGCAAGAGTTACTATAGACAAAAATTTCATTTTGTAAGAGCATAGTGTTTAAAAGTAATCAGGCATTGAGTAAATAATATACACTCCAACACTTATTGTTATATCTACCAGAAAACTGAGACATAAACGATTAGTTGTATAAATGGTCACAGATTATGCTGATGACACAGAATTACATCTCTCGTATGACTACTGCTCGTCACTTTGTCGGCCTTTTCCTGCCACAACTTCCCCAAAGATGGATTCACCTTCCGGTTGAAACTTACTAGCGTTAGGGACAAAGACCTTCGTACTATCTATATTTGTATGATAAATATGGATAGACAGAGCAGGAAGTTGTATAGCTCAATAGCTGTGATAACCCCATTTAGTTTTACACATGAGTAAGCACATTTTAGGTTAAGTATAATTTGATAGCAACTTCAAAAAAAAAAGCATATTCAGTCCATACGAGACTTCTTTACACTACTGGCCTGTAGGTTATGCAACTCAATGAAAACTACAGGCCCCCTTAGAAATACAACCCCCCACCACACCCCACCCCATACACACACACAGAGACTGATACACAATAATTTAACTTCAGCTTTCTTAAAACACTGTTTTTAGCAACTTTTCAGGCCTTCCTAATAAGAATGTATTTCCTATACTTAAATGTGCTGTATTGAGAGGCTCATCATAGTTATTTGAGTTTCAATTTTACTGGCCTCAGCCCATTTTACTCAAGATTCAGGACCTGTAGTTTTTGAACTTTTGGTGAAAACTGCATACTATGATCAAAAATTGGCAGGTGTGTCTATAAGCACTATTCATATTGTCTGCTCTATCATATACATTATTTTGTACATGTGTATTTACAATTTTAAGTTTTTCAACAGTACGGGGAGGAATGCGTCATTCCAAAATCATTAATCCCTCTTCACTGTTCATCTTTTCCTATCTATTTCTTCGTCTTATATATGGATTGATGTCTTAGACATAAATTACTTTTGCTCATAGTTTTTGTCAATGTAAAACTTTTGTAATGATCAGTGTGTTACTGTAAAAGCAGATATATATTCATTGAGGATTAAATTTCGTTTTTCATTGTTAACAATTATCAACAAAATTAAATCCCGCACAAAATTTTTATATGACTATATATTGAATAGAATTACTTTCGAAACAACGAAATTTTAATGTCCATGAAACCTTTTTAGATGACAATTCTTTGAAATTTTATCCCCAGGAAAATTTGTGCTTCTACAGTATATAAAGAATCAAACTCTTAAAAAGAATTTACCAGAAAGTAGCCAAGTACATGTATTTCTTGTCAAAAAGTTTTAGTAAAAGATTTATTATTTTGTTGATGCCTAAAACCAATGACACCAAATACAATTTTAATATATATATATGTGTGCATACAACCTTGAGATTTTCATGAGGAAATAGAGACTCAAAACTTCCTAAGGCAATTAAGATAAAATGTTACTCCATGTGCTATCATAATCCTTAATAAGTAAATAGTATTATTGCATAAGAATTTCCTTTTATGATATTTATTTCCTTGATCTTCTTTTTGATTGTGATTTGTATTCATGAACTATGAATTTATGATTATCACCCCTTCTATGAAGCTCATACAATATCAGGGTACATGCATCAAACCCGGTTTTGTTCTAGTTATTAAATATTGAACTGGGCAGTGCCATGCAATGTTCTGATATATTCATTATGAGAACTATATTGCATGTATTTAAAAGGCTTTTAGAAGGTAAAATAACTATATTTCTGGATCCCCCTGTTCATTTCTTTGATCAACACCATATATGGCCTAGCTGGCATATTAGTTTGAAGTTCACTTTGAACAAATAATGATGTACATAAGGCTTGAAGTATATGTGATAAAGAGGTTTCAAATGTAAACAAAACAAACACACACCTTTGCCATGAAGGTTTTAAAATTCACCTTGATACCCTTAAGGAGTTGCAAATGTTGTGTAATTAAGATTTTAAACTCGCTCTTTGTATTGAACCATCTCATCAAACTTTTCACATATTTGAAAGTTTTCCAGAGATTAATTTGATTGACATGATTGACTAAGGTCAACCTGATTAAACTAAATAGCAGAAAAAGATCAAATCAAGTATGTGCTAGGTGAAGAGGTCATGTGTTTATAGACTGTATTCTGTTGAAGTATATCAGAGGTATATCTGTATTAGTATTGGAGGTATATCTATCTTAAGTACCCATAGTTCAATGTCCCAAAGTTGCAGTGAATATATATAATTATAAAGTCCAAAGTGAAATAGAGAAGATATAGATAACATTATGATATCTTATTAATCAAGTAAAATAAACAGAATTCAGCCTTTAATTAATATAATGTTAAATACAGCTTTACAATATGTTGAATACCGCTTTACATTGTTGTCATCGTAATGCACCTGGTGAATTATCTAAAGGCTTCTTAATCCAGGGTGAGGTCACAACCTGGTCACTTTACCCCACCCCTAGGTTGTCAAACGCTCATCTGTCTTCAGCCTTGTACACATCTGAACCCAATGAGGGAGGCTTGTTTATGAGTCATTTTGACAGCGAGTGATGATTAGTGCTTGGCTCTGGGCTTTGTATGTATTTGTAGTGATATAATGATACTGGTAAACACTAGTTCATATGTTGATCACTTACCGAGCATTGTGTGCAGTAATCGCTTTTGACAAAGGAATTTTATTATAGAAAGGAATCTGATATTTTTATCTGTGTAGTAGATATGACATGCATATTTAGCATAGCTCCAAAGATTCAGGGAAATTTACTCAAAGTATATATACTTTATAATACCACAGAAAATAAACATGCATTACACTGAAACTGTTATTCAACATCTTATTAAAAAGATTCATAATGTCCCCAGAAGTGGCCTGGATCTTCATGTACCACAGTCTGAGTGTGTTAATACATGTATACTTGATGCAAACAAGTTTTTTTCTAATAGCTCCTACAAGAATGATTAAAAATTAAAAACAAAGTCTACATATCTTCTGTTTTTTTCTTTGCATGTTCTTCCCAATAAGGGCCTCTTAATTAAGACTTGGTGCTTAAAAAAGTGGAAGGGGGAAGGGCAAAATACTAGATTCATTTTTATGAACTACAAATTTTAATAATTCATTACAGAAAGGAAGAAAGAATGTACAAAAAGATAACCATAAAACTGATTTTATTTCCAATAATATGAATTTAGAAAAAATAGTTGTCTTAAAATTTATTGTTGGGTTTTATAAGGTTCATATACTTTGCCAACAAGGTTGGGTATTTGCAATTATATGACCATTGATGTTAACTGTGGTGAATGTAGTATCTATTTATATTATTTTTAAGGCCACTGACCCAAACAATGCATACCTATTTAAGAATGATATTTTATTTTTAGACTGGCCGTGTGGAGATGAACCAGCCAGTAGTGGATGGTCATAAAGGCCCAGTACTGGACATTGCTTTTTGTCCACACAATGATGATGTCATAGCCAGCTGTTCAGAGGACTGTACAGTCAAGGTGTGGGCGATCCCGGAGGGTGGACTCACACGTAACCTCACCGAGCCCGTTGTAGAGCTCATCTCTCACATCAAACGAGCCTGCATTGTAAAATGGCATCCCTCTGCTCAAAACATTCTTCTGAGTGCTGGTATGTTAAATTACCTCAATTTTATTTTAAACTTCAGCATGCTCTAAGAAAACAAGGTATGAGTGCATTTTTTAAACGTATTAAGGAACAGAATAAACACATGCATATATTTACATTCGAGCTCTTGAGAATAAACGAGTTTTAAAATCAAGTGATACAGGAATAGCAAGTATTTGTTTTTAAAAGAAAGAAAGGGAACATGTGCCTAATTTGTTGTCTTAAGAAGTAGCATCACTTCTATGTACTTTTGTGAGCAAAAAATACTTTGAATGTAAATGAAATGACTAAGTCAATGGTTTAGGAAATGTTATTGGATTTTCCTTTAAGGATCTGAAGTATCATAATGCATTAAATGGATTAACAACTTACATGATTATGTTTAAATATATTTTTGTTCCTCCTTATAGGTGCTGATGCCAAGATATGTATTTGGAATGTAGGAACTGGTGAACTTTATGTAGAAATAAACCTTCCTGATCTAATCTATTCAGCAAGCTTTAGCTATAATGGCGATAAATTTGTCTGTACCTGTAAAGACAAAATTCTTAGAGTCATTGACTCACGCACAGGAAAAGTAATTAAGGTATGTCAAAGACAATAAAAAAGTACATATGTATAGCTTATTTGCATGTAATTTTTCAAATGTGCAGTTCCTGATACATGTTTGTACACATTTACATGTGTTGTCACTTAACAAGAAAAAAAAACCATGGCTCGATGAACTCCATATCCATAGGTATGTTTTACATGTAGGTCACAAAATGAAGCATACAAAGCACTTTAAATATTGTTTTTTTTTTGTCATAACTTCTGAATGAGAAAAGACAGGGCTTTCATATTTCACATGTACATTACCTGTGAAAAACCTTTCCAAATGTACTTTGATTTTTGACCCCATGTTATTGACCTTGGAAATTGACCTACTTATAAGATATTTTAACATTAGTGATATCTTTTGAATGAGAGAAGGCAGGGTGTTCATATTTGACTTGTGCATTACCTGTGACAAGACCTTTTAAATATGCTATGATTTTTGATCCTGTGAGCACTGACCTTGACCTTGGAGGGTTGACCTACTTTTCAAAAACATTGACATTGGTGATAACTTTTAAATGAGAGAAAATAGGGTGTTCATATTTGATATGTACATTACCTGTTACAAGACTTTTCTGGTTAAACATGGTTTTTGACCTCTTGTGACCTTGACTGTGAAGTTCAACCTACAGTACTTTTCAAAAATTTTAACATTGGTCATAACTTTTAAAGGAGAGAAGGTGGGGCTTTTTTATTTTACCTGTACATTACCTGTAACAAAACCTTTCAGGAAAAAACCCCCATTATTTTTGACTTCGTGACCTTGACCTAGAAGTATGACCTACATAAAGTTTTAACTTTGGCTGTAACTTTAGCTCTAGTAGAGACTGGGGCACATGGCTTTCATATTTTTTTTTTACATGAACATTACTGGTGACAAGACTTTTCAGATTGTATTATGATATTTGACCTCATGATCTTGATCTTGAAGTTTGATGCAGTTTTAAAAATCTTAAATCTTGATCGTTACTTTTGTTAATTCAAAAATTTAATTTTTTTTTGTAAAATGTACAGACAAGACAGGACAAATAGATAAGACAGTTTGCTTGAGTAAACTGTGCCAGCAAGGAATTCCACTGTTGACCAATTTTTATGACTTTTTTAAAATGAAAAATTATGATGTGCTCTATGGTTTTATGGAGTTTGGATATGGAGTTTTGAATTTTATCTAACTGGAAAACTAATTAAATTGAGAATACTGACAAGTGTTGGTTCAAAAAATGTAAATGGAACTTTACGATTGCCTTAAATATTAGTGACCATTTTGTAGGAAACAAGTGGGCCCTGCCATCAGGGATCTAAACCAGCACAAGCCCTGTTCCTCAAGCATGACAAAGTCTTCACCACAGGATTCTCCAGGATGAGTGAGAGGCAGTATGCATTGTGGAATGCGGTAGGTCATTTTTCTTAGCTTGTATCCTCAAGAAAGACCACAGACAGCACTACTTTTATTGCAGAAAGGAAAGAACACAATTTGTTAAAAGCATGAAGTGATTTCGTATTGATTTAGCTTGGTTTCATGTATATAAGACATTTAAAAAACAATTTCTTCAATTCATTTTAAAAAGGGTTAAGTTACTCTTTTTTTTAGGGCCGGTATTTGCAACATTTGCAGTTTGTTTATCAGAAATTTGAGTTTTATTTGGGGCCCCTGGGGTAGGGCAGGTCTGATATACATGTGCATGTAATTTGTGACATTACTTATTGAGTAAATTCTTGTAATTTTTGAACCCAACTTAGGTTTTAAAAATAAATATGAAATTCACATATTTTTCTTCTTCTACATGTATTTCTGTAATGCTAGGGTATACAGTTTCTACATGTAGTCCCCTTACACAGTTTACCTCTGAACTTGTTTATATGATTTTTCTGACAAATAAATGATGTGATGTTGGCTTGTAGAAAACACTGGAACAGGAGAGCATGGATGAGATAGACCAGGCCAATGGAGTATTGATGCCAGTGTATGACTGTGATGTAGAGATGATTTACCTTATAGGAAAGGTAATATCCCAAGTGAACATATCACTGTATGATCAGTTTGGGTGTCAGGTTATAAATTTTATTAGGGTAATACATGTATGTAAATTGAAATTACGCCATTTCATAATTTTTTCCCCATTCACCACAAAAAAATTGGAAAGAAGGAAGGAAAATCATTTTGAGGCAAAGCGATATTAAATAAAAATGTTTGAAATCTCAATTTTTCCTCTCTTTGGGTCTTTCCATATGATTTCTTAATAGAGAGAAAATGACTGAGAAAATTGAAACAATGGTTTTTAAAATATTTATGACTAATATAAAATAATATATTTAATTCCATTTCTTTTCACTACATTATAATATAATAATACATTATAATACATTCACCAACCAAGAGTAGTAATTATGCAACCATTGACAGACAAGGCAATGTTTCCTAGATGTGTTCTGTTAGATTATGTTATAAAATAATTCCAAATATTTTAAGCAGTTGTTAATTGATGGCAATCATCATTTTTTGAAAGTTGATGGGATGATTCAAATATAAGTTTTCTTATGTTAATGAATGAAAATAAGGTATGGCAAATATTAAAAACTTTATGCATAGAAACTCAGCACATTACCTGGGTGCTTTTGAAAGTTACAAATGCTGAACCCTTCGACAAATGTTCAGTTGATGTATTTTGTTGTGTAACTAATCCTCAGCTACATGTATTTTTCCATTTAATGACAACAGATTACAATGTAAATGGAAATTATTTCAGGGAGACAGTATTATCCGGTACTATGAAATCACAGATGAGGCCCCCTATGTCCACTACTTATCACTATACCAATCAAAGGACCCCACTCGAGGGTTTGGTGTCATGTGCAAGAGAGGCCTAAACATCAATAATTGTGAAATTATGAGGTACAATTTATTTACTTTAAAATGTGAAGGGAGACTGACTGTCTGCCCACTGTAATGAATTTATTCTGTGATCATGACAATTTTCTTGTAAATGATTGAGATTATAATGAAGTTCAAGCAAATTTTAAGCAAATATGAAAGAAAATCAAGGTTTAGTTAGAATTATCTCTCTTGGCAAAGGGGTCCATTCCTCAGTGTGTGCAAAAGTAATGAAAGTTTCTATAAATGATAGAAATTTAACATTTGAATAGGATTTACAAACTGCTGAACACTGGACAAGTAGAAGTTATTCCATTCACAGTTCCTCGAAAAGTAAGTCCTACAACCTGATGATTTCACTGACCAAAGTGTTACAATAATCTGTCAAGAAATAATTATCTGATTGATATCACAGTTAATCCTAAAAATCAGAAACATTTGAAAAATGCTAGGACTTACTGGTATTTTTGGTTGACTGTGAATTTTTTTTCAGTCTGAGCTCTTCCAAGATGATATTTACCCTGACACAGCTAGTGATCAGCCAGCAATCAGTGGAGAAGACTGGTTCAGAGGTGTCAGTGCTGACCCAGTACTGGTAGGAGACTTAAATATTGCATGTGGCAACTACCAAGACATCTATTCATATAGTCTTAACTTGGGAGAGTTGAATTTGTGTTTTTGCAGCAATTCCTTTAAGTTTTATTGGTTTGACTTGAGAATTGAAGATTTAAGAATCAAGTACATTCATTAATTAATGAAAATCTTTTAAACCCCCCCCCCCCCAAAAAAAAAAAAATATTGATAATATATTGGTAAGTATTAAAGTAGTATTGATCATTTTTACAGGTTTCTTTGAAAGATATGTTTGCATCAGAAATGAAGGAACCAGCTAAAGTTGTGGTCAAATCAAATATTTTGGACAAAAAAGTGCCAGCCACCCCCTCCAGGAGGTCTGCAGATGTAGCCCCCACACAACCAAAGGTTCCCTCCACACCTGTAGCCCGCCCTGCCTCTGAAGCAGCACCTGCTGCAGCAGGAGCCGGAGTAGAACTACCTCCAGTAAGTAAACCATTACCAAGCACAGAATGTTGTTATTTATATACATGTAGATTGATTTATCACATCAGGAAAAAGTGTGGGAATTGACCACTGTGTTATTACATAGGAAAAAGAAACTTCTCCTAGTTCAAAACCCTCAATTGGTCCCAAACCAGGATCTAACTCAGAAACACAGGTAAAATTATAATGGCCTTTACCAGTAAACCCTAACCTTTTTTCCCTGTTCAATTTAGCCCAAATCCTAGCCAGTGATCCACTGCACAGATATACATGTATATTAATCAGATGAAAGTCAAAATGTGTAAGTATTGATAGAGCATTGCAACATTGATAAGTATCTTTGCACTACACATATATCAAAATAAGTCTCATGTGTAGTGTACACTTTTTATCATACCGTATATACTCGCCTATAAGTCAGTCCGCCTATAAGTCAGTTGTATTTTTAAGCTTAAATTAGAGGGATTGACCAACTAAAATACCAATCTTTTTATAACTCACATATAAGTCGGATAAGGAGTTTTGGACCAAAGTTTAACTCCCAAAAAACTGACTTATAGGTGAGTATATATGGTATCTTATGCAAGATTTTACATTACACATAAGAGCAAAAAATTTGCCCAATTTTTAGTGAGTCAATCTAAATTTAGTCATACATGTAGTTGCCATACTTCTCTAATATAATTAATTATTTGTTGAAAGACATTCAGTATTTATGAAGAAGTTGACACCATTTTCTCATTACAATGTAATAATTTCAGGATCATTGAACAACCATAAAAATTTGATTGTGGAAATTGTGTGATAAATATATCCATAGTTAATGCTATCTGAGTTCCTATTTACTGTTATCCACTCAGTCAAGCAAGACATACAAATTCAGAATGCTCTACATGCTCAGCACTTTGTTTTATGAACCATAAATTTGTGACCATGATAATATGTAACATTTCCTTACCAATAAATTTTTTATATTAATTTTCATCTTAGTTAAATCTGATTTTGGTTTTCAGCATGACTATTTTCAATTTGATTTCATTGCATTTTTATTTTTGTTCTGAATTTTTGGAATGACCTAAAAAAAAATAAATGTATGTCTTTGTTAAGATTTCTAAAATGATATGAAAGGGGGGGGGGGGGGGGGGGTATTTTCCAAACAAAACACTCAAAAATGATTTTTAAAGAATGAACTACATGTATCTATGAAGTGCACACTGTACATGAGACATTGAATACAGGTAAACCAAAACCCCTAAAGATGAATATTATACAATCCCCACATTATTTATAGCATATTTTTCAATGAAGGAGCAAATATCACAGCTGAAATCTCTTCAATTATTTTTAAGTTACTAATACAATTACCTTTATACATGAAATGTGAATTTTTTCAAGAGTTGTATAATATACTGAAATGTTTGCATTACAATTACATATATATAACCTCCCTCTTCATTGGGGGTCATAGTGCTACTTATGCCAATTAATTTATACATTCATTAAGTGTATATGTACATAAGATTCTTAAAAATCTCAGACAGTTATAACTAATGTTACATTGTAGATTGAAAGATGTCTTTTTAGAGAAATTGGCTGATTTCTCACTAGATATAGTAGAGTTATGCCCCTTTTGGGGTTCATATAAATTGAATAACTACAGTCTGCATACCATATATTGAGACCTCTCTATGGATATAATTGATGTTTACATGTGTTGGAATGACAATAAACTTTAGAAGATTCATTTTGCACACTTGGGACAACTTTGTTGAATTTATTTCTTTGGATCTACAAAAATTATGACCTGGTTGAGTTGTGGAGCATTTTGCTGATCTCACAAAGTGTTATTGCTCCTAGTTCATATATTACATTGTGACCTTACAATCCTCGACATTTTTATCAGTAGTTACTCCATTACATATCTAATCATCTCTAGATAACTTAGGATGTAGTACATGTATTATATCAGTTATCATACCTTATGTACGTATACTGTATACTAAGTAATGCATTTTGATATATGATACATGTTACTATAGAGAGCCTCAATGACTGAATGAGCGTGTATGAATTTTTTTCAACAATTTTTCACCCTTTAGGGCTTTGATCCACAAGGAATTTTAGAAGATATTAGAAAACTGAAACTTATAGTTAAAGCCCATGAACGACGTATAAAAACTTTGGAGGAACGTGTGGCACAATATGAGGCACCATCAACAGACGAAGAAGGAGCAGGAGAGATGTGTTAAGATGTATATATAGCTTTGTTGTTTTGTTTCCGTTAGTTTGCTGTTGTAGAGGCACCCTCTCCATAGTGTGGCTCTCACAAACCTGCTTCAACCCACTAACTTCGTCTCCCACCCTCACTGCTGAACCTGTTGCATGTAAAAAATAAATAAATAAATGAACCGATAGATGTGAATGCTTCAATAAGTTAAATCACAACTACAGATTCCTCACAAATATTCAATATTAAGTGTCTTAAAATCTTTGGTATAAACAAACTTTGGTAGTGTATATAGATGTCTCCTTTCCATAGAGGACATTTTAAAAGTCAGCAGAGAGGTCATGGGATCTTGTTACTATACAGGTTAACAGGGAATGGTGTGGCTGTAGACTAGAGTCTAGACTTCTACAGAGATGTGCTCAACCACCAATTGTTAAAAGCATTCTTTCCTTGCATTTTAAATGCAATGTACCACCCCTGTTTGTAAGCTACATGACTGTATGAAATCAAACTACCCATGCTTTTTTTCCTCACATTGTGAAGAAATGTCAATATACTTGAAAGAAGCTTCAGACCAAATATTCTTTAGATTTAAAAAATCGTTTGTAATTACCCTTTAGTGCTTCTAACAGAGGGATGTCTGGTTGAAAATATCTCAATGTATTTTTTGACAGAGGTTTTTTTTTCCAGGTGAATTATTAACAGAGTTTATATTTGTATTTCTTCACTGTAACATCATTTTTATTGTATTCACTATATGAATAGTTCTGCACATGATACATGTATGCACAGAATCACAATTTGTAGCATTTTAAACAGTTAAAATAATTTTTTTGGTGAATGGTTATGGATAAAAATATAATTCTTTCTGTTTATATTCAGTGAAAAAAGTACAAAACATTATACTGAAATATATTAAAGTGTTTCACTCTGTATCTGCTTTGAATCAGAAATTCTTCACAAGTTTACATATTCAGAAAAACTTAGCTGCTAGAATGAGGTAGGCTTTATTTGCATGAAGGTGTCAGTTGCAGGTAATTACAGCTAAAAAGGAAATAAAGTAAACTGGAATCTGAACTCCCTATACCTGGCACACACTGCCATTTACTTCCATTCATTTCAGTGTTTTTATTTTACATTTATTATGCCCCGCCATGAATATGGCCGGGGCATATAGTGTTTGTCATGTCCGTCTTCCGTCCTTCCGTCCTTCTGTCCTTCCGTCTGTCCTTCCGTCACACTTTGCGTTTAGCTCTGTTCAAAGCTCAGTTTCAAAGAAACTATCCAAGATATTTTTATCAAACTTCATATGCTGATAGATATTGATGAGGGCTATGCAACTGCATCAACATTTTTTGACCTTGACCTTTCCTTTGACCTTGGCCTCACTTTTCTTAAATTAGTGTTTAGCTCAGTTTTAAAGATACCATTCAAGATAGTGTAATCAAACTTCATATGTTGATACATACTGATGTAAGCTATTCAATTGCATCAACATTTTTTTGACCTTGACCTTTATTTTGACCTTGACCTCACTTTTCTTAAATTAATGTTTAGCTCTGTTTTAATGAGACCATTCAAGATATTTTTAACAAACTTCATATGCTGATACATACTGATGAGAGCTATTCAACTGCATCAACATTTTTTGACCTTGACCTTTCCTTTGACCTTGACCTCACTTTTCTTAAATTAGTGTCAAACTTCATATGCTGATACATACTGATGAGAGCTATTCAACTGCATCAATATTTTTTGACCTTGACCTTTCCTTTGACCTTGACCTCACTTTTCTTAAATTAGTGTTTAGCTCAGTTTTAAAGAAACCATTCATAATATTTTCATCAAACTTCATATGCTAATACATACTGATGTAACCTTTTCAACTGCATCAACATTTTTTGACCTTGACCTTTCCTTTGACCTTGACCTCACTTTTCTTAAATTAGTGTCAAACTTCATATGCTGATACATACTGATGAGAGCTATTCAACTGCATCAATATTTTTTTACCTTGACCTTTCCTTTGACCTTGACCTCACTTTTCTTAAATTAGTGTTTAGCTCAGTTTTAAAGAAACCATTCATAATATTTTCATCAAACTTCATATGCTAATACATACTGATGTAACCTTTTCAACTGCATCAACATTTTTTGACCTTGACCTTTCCTTTGACCTTGACCTCACTTTTCTTAAATTAGTTTCTGAATCAAACGTCATATGCTGATACATACTGATGTAAGCTATTCAACTGCAGCAATATTTTTTGACCTTGACCTTTCCTTTGACCTTGACCTCATTTTTCTCAATTTGTGTTAAAATGTTGCATTACTAATATACCCTTGGCGGGGCATTCATGTCCTATGGACATATTTCTAGTTTTTAATACGTTTCTAAATTTAGAGTTTGTTTACATACTTATCCGTAGTATTTTATTTTGACCTTAACTTTAAGTCTCTTTCTCTTACTTGTCTTTTTGAAAAAATATCTTTTGTTAAGATTTTTTTAAAATAACTGTGATTTGACAAATTGCACATTGTAAACCATGTCCCTGATTACTTTCTTTGTTAGGGTGTGAGTGTACAAGCCTTGTTGGATGAAGTGAAACAATTAAAGAAAACAGTCAAAGATCAAGACAAGAAACTCAAGGACTGTGAGGAGCGATTGTCTGCCCTTGAAACACCCAATATGGAGGACGAAGTTGCAGACAAGGATTAAGCACATGAAAAAAAAAATACAGATGCACCAGAACTCCATATCTTGATTATTTTAGGAATAGCCAAATCATAAGCAATAAATAGGCAGTGATCTTTGAATGAATGTTGCCATAAACATGATAAAACGATAAAATTGTCATCACCAATACTCATTATCATTTAATTTATGTATTCATACACGTTCTTTATTTACCTGACCAGTCCGAATTTAGGGTTAATTTTGTCTATTTTTGTTCCCCTTTCACAGCAAATACAAACTTTGGATGTTATTCTGAAACTTTCTATATTATTTTGTGTTATTGTCCAAATGATTGTCTTTTATTGTTTTTTTTTTTTTACCCCCAAATAGGAATGTTTACTTTCATCTTTTCAGTATTTCAAACTGACGTATTTGTTTTTTTTTTTTTTTTTTCCATCTCTGTAAAGTACACCTTCTTTCCTACTTTGAAATCCAGTATATAGAATAATAATATTCACAGATATTTTACCATTAGTTACCTTCAAGAGTTCTGATTTAAAATTTTTAACTGTTTGATGTTATATTTATGACAGAGAAATATTTTGAGGATTTTTTTTAATTAAAGCGGAAAACTTGTATTGGATTTAAGGAAGAGTTCAGTGCTTGCAATTACCAATACTTTTTTGAGCATCTGTATGCAGAAATATATCAATATAGCTGTTGTATTAAAAGGCAGCAAATAAGCTAGGAAATTTTATACTTAAAGTAGATACTCTGGGATAGAAAAAAAGTGATATACAGTATTACCATTTATGGTACAACAACTTATCGGTTAATTTTCTTTATAGCGCTATGTGAAACTTTCATGAAAGAATATTTCAACTTCATTTTCCTAAGCTATAAGTATTTTGTTTGGTTTAATTTGTGCATTATACTTTTTTGTGAAGTGCTGGACATGGCTGCTTTTTTGTGCGGGTTTATGTAGTGCTACATTCAGTGACACTTAAATCAAATTAAGACTTATCCTAACTATCTCCCTTTGTTTATAAATGGCTTTGTGAAGATTTTTTTTCACATTCCAGGAGAGAATTATGAAGGGGGTGTAGCTACTGAAGGAGATAGGAAAAGGAAGAAATTCTGACATTTTTTGGGTAGAAAAGCTCAAACTGCCAAATCCAAATTATTTAAAGCATGATTTGTTCTTGTATGTATTGCCTAACATTTTTGTATTTTATTATTATTATTTTATAATGGGACAATAAGGCTTTTTGATTTGCTTTGAAATGGTCTTCACTGTAGTGTGTATGACTGTTTGATGTAGCTACATCTAGTTGACTATGGGTCCCATTCTCTTGCATTCCACGTTAATGTGTATGTGTGCTTTCTGTGTTGTTTTCATCCTGAATCATTGCTACATATATGAAAATAGAAGAAAAAAAAAACACAGAAAAAAAATGTAAAATTTAATAATGCTTCTCTAGTCTTAAATTCTAGGAATCTGAAGGTTCATTTCAAAGTGCCAATAAATAGAATTGTGAAACAGCAGAGTTTGTACCTGTTAAGTATAAAAAAAGAATTGCTTGGGGTCATCATAGCATATACTAGTACTTAAGTGACTGAAGTCCCTTATAGTGTATCAGTAAAAACCAGTTATATACTGCTGAAATAGTGAGATATTTTATTCTTGTCACCATTTTCATGTCTCTTCACATTTGTATGTCATTCAGAGTTCGAGCTGTCACATTGACCACATGCTCAAACTGCCAAAGACAATTACTATTTATAGCTGTGATTGCTAGCAGAGAGGACAAAACTTGACTTAGGGAACAGTAAGAGCCACAGTCCAATATACCCCTGCTATTATGATTGCTTTCTTCAGTATACAATCTTGAAATAATAAAATTTTAATTGGGATGTTTACAAGGGGTCTTGTTTTATGTTCAGTTTAAAAGAAAAATTACATAATAGGAACGAAGTTTCCATTAATGGCTTCATTTTATATTTCGAAGCTCTTACTGTGCCTTAACCTTTCAGGAAATGTACACAAATAAAAACTGTCCTAGTTTGATGCTTTTCTGTACTACTGTTGCTAGTACCAGTGTATACAGTTTACCATGGACTTTGATTTTTTGACTGACTTAACATTCCTTGTTTTACTCTAAGCACTGCTATAAAGTCACTGTTATTGTTAATGATATACCATTGTATAAAGAGGTATTTGTTTTTGTGCGTTCATATAGGTATGTGTTGTGCTGATTTTCATTAATATGTACTCTTAAGCTTTTTTTTACAGAATCTAAACTACTGAAAGAATTAGACATGCTAAACCTCTGCTGTTTAAAAGTATTATGTGACAAAGAACAAAAAAAACTTACTTTTTATGATTTCTACTTTTTTTGTTATGTCTCTAAGCCTAACAATAATTAAGATAAGAAAAAAAAATTAAAAAAGAACAAGATGATATCGTTTATATATATATAAACTTTGTAATGTGCAATTAAAATATTTAATAAACAATTTCATATTCTCACCCACTGGTCTTGTTATTATTCATATTGTCTGTATTTACATACTAGTTTTGAGGTAAATATAGTCTGTTATCCACATGCGTAGTAAGCTTACAGATTTTTAATTACCTAGATTCAATTTATTATTTACAGTGAATAATTTGTTTTACTGAAAACTTGCAATTTGTTCCTTGATTGGAGACCTTTTTATACAGGTAGATTGTATGGTGTGCATATAAAATTGCCACACGATGAATTTTGTCGATATTTTTATTGCCCTTTGTCAACAGTGGGACTTGTTCTTTGATTCGCGTTGATACAAGGGCCAAGATGAAAAAAAAAAGATGAATTAGGGCCTTCTGGTATTGAAAACTAGAAATATGTCCATAGGACATGAATGCCCCGCCGATGGTACATTAGAAATGCAACATGAAAATTTGTATTCGTGTATGAAGTTTGATAAGAATATCTTGAATAGTTTCTTAAAAAACTGAAATCTAAAAAATTGGATATAGATGTTTAATTCTTACCAAGTTATGTGTAAGTGCATAAGCTTGCAAAAAAAAATCATTAAATGGTATCTTTAAAACTAAGAAAAATGAAAATTTGTAAAAAGAGTGATGATGAGGTCAAGAAAGTTTAAGGTCAACAGTTTCTTATGCAGTTGAATAGCTCTCACTAATACGTATCAGCATATGTTGATGCAGTTGAATAGCTCTCATCAATATGTATCAGCATATGAAGTTTGATAAAAATATCTTAAATATTTTCTTTGAAACTGAGCTAAACGCAAAGCGCGACAGAAGGACGGAAGACGGACATGACAAACTCAATATGCCCCGCCATGAGGGACGGGTACAGCACTGGGCAGGTAATGACCTTGAGGTATCAAATACAATGTTTTGTCCTATAGATTTCAGAAAATCACGTGAACTATCAAAAGATCGGACATTTCTCAGAAAATCGTTCTACACTAAGTGGACCAAAAATTAAACCTTGATTCTTGTCGTAGGAGGTTTTATTTACATATAGATATTGTGGTAAATCAGTGTTGAGATAAGTGCATACATCTATTCTAACTAAAATGAGAATGAATTTTTCTTTCAAGTTTTAATAACGTTTACAAGCAGTGAATTTTCCATGTAATTGTTCATTGATTTTTATAGAGATTAATTCCAATAGCTATCTTTTATACAAAATATATAAAGTATAATTTTGAAAATGAAGGCAACTTGAGGTTTTATTTGATAATCTTGAAATCAGTTCTGTGTTACTTTCCTCTCAGATAACATACACGCATGAATTTCACTCCAGGAGAGTAGGAGGTCGATTCTAACTTCGAAAATATTTCGATACATTCTTCTTCTTTTTTTGTCTTGAAAATTGCATGTAGTAGTAGTATTTTTTGTTTAAATTATTCCGTAGACATCTTTACTCTATGTATTAATATTTATTGATCGCACGCTTCTTAACATTTTCTGTTAAAAAGAAACGAACAACCACTGATCGAATGCATCACTTTGTGAATTAATTTCTAAAAAAACAAATATATAATGTCTAATCCACAAAGTCTATACATCTGTGTTAGGAGTTCAGAACTGTTAATTTATCCATAATTATAAAAGAACTAAATTACAATGAGTGGTCTTATAGTGGTAGTATTTAAATATTAACCAAAATGAAATTAAAGTAATATCTCTGTCTCCATTTATAACACCTGAGCAGTGGCGGGTCCAGGAATCTTGAAAGGGGGGGGGGGGGCAGTTTGGGGTCGAGGTAGGGGCTCACGGCCACACCAAAAAAAATTATTTATTAAATCGTATGTATACTTGGGACACAAAAGTGGGGGGTGCCCTCCCCCCTCTAAATCCGCCAGTGCGGAGGGAAGTTATTACTTCTACCTCGAGATAAATTTAAGGGATGATTATTTGTAAACAGAGCTAAGATACGTGTGTGACTTTCGGTAGAGTGCTTTTATCGATGCTAATTAATTAAATATTTCGACCCTACTGGTCGACATAATTCACGTTGGTAGAACATGCTATTTTATATAGAAACTGACATATATCTCCCGATATCAAGGGTTCTGTGTGTATCTGTGATATCCTAGGGGAGGGGGAAAGGATAGAGCGTTACATCCTACTCACTCCTTGGATCCACCAATACATGTAACACTAAAGAATATAGTTGGTACAATTGTATATATATACAAGAACCATTCCATCGATTTTGATCCTGCATAATTATCTTTCTATTTGCAAGTGATTTAAAAGTCAGAGAAAATGAAAAGATATAAAATGAAATTACTGCAAGACACTGAATGGATTTAATTAAGTAGAACCACTTAAATGTCCACGTGCTTGTTAAATCCAGTAACTCAATCACATCACACAAAGGAGGTTTAAAGTTCTATCCGACGTCATATGTAGAAAATGGTCAATATTTGAGTGTTGACTATATTGTGTGTATACCATCAGATATTAAAAACAGACTTACCGATTCCGTTCGTGCGTACCTGTTTAAATATCTCTACGTATACCTTGTGTTTAGGTGTTCCAAGACAACTGATCAGACTATCTTACGAGATAGAAGTGTCTATGAGTGATTGCTTTGTTAATCGAATGAACGTCAATTCCTTAATTTTAGGGTACTTATGTATATATATGCCTAAAGACAGAGTGTTAAATATGTTTACATTATTCCAATATTTTAGAACAACGTGATTGACGATCATCAGTGTGCGGAATTATTAATGTTTCGTCGGGTTTTTTTTAAAAGCCGGGTAGCTTCGCGTTTCTTTTATTAGGTGCTTCAATCGATATATCTATTATTACAAATATACAAACCATCGTGCATGAAGTAAGCCTGGCTTATGCTGTCATCCGAGGAATTTTGGATTTCACGGACGTGGAGGCATGTTGGAATTGGTTCAGTGATGTAAAACTGTAAACATGGGCAGCTCGGCAGGGAAAGAGAAACAGCCCACGGAAAAGGGGTCAGTCTATAGATTCCGTTTACATAATTTTCTGAATGAACGTAAAGATTCTGATATATTTCTTTTTCTTCTGAATGAACTGTTTACTTGATTTCTATTATTTGTATTTCAGAGATTCCAATGATAATGTCGTGCAAAAGAAGACAGTTTCCCCACCAATCTCTCAGTCAAAACCCAATGGAAATTCGGAAACAGTACAGCAATCAGAACGTGTTTTGCAGAAAAGGAAAACGGAGAATGGGGGTCAAGAAGTGGTTAACAATAGACATGAGCGACCCAGGACCAGTAAAGAAAGGGTTCAAATGCAAAGGGAGAAAACTATAATGGTACCAAAGGAAAGAACTCCAAAGCTTCAACGACAAAAAACGAGTGGATTTAAAAGAGAAAAGACAATGGGATTAACAAGACAAAAGACGGTGCTCAATGATAAAGCCTTGAAAGGAAAGAAGCTGACAAAAACAATATCAAAGGAACATATCACGCCATCAACATTAAAATCTGGCATGAACGCTATTCTTTTGGGGAGTACATCGGTGGATCTTCCGTCTACAGCCAAAATAGTTCGGATATTCACCAGCAGTACATTCAAGGGTGAGTACACTTTCACTTTTCTGTCCACTTATAGGTTATTATTCTAAAGTAATTATCTCCATCTAGTGGAGAACAAAAGGTACAACGACTAGACCCGTTAAAAATGAATTGCATCACAGTATATATGAATAAAGTATTGAACAGGTGGTCATGAATGCCCAATATGTTTAACAGCTATAAAGCTTTTTCAAATTTTTATTTTTATTGTAAAATAGTATTTATAGAAGATATTTCATGTGTTTTATAGTTTAGAAATAGACACCAGAATGATGAATAAATGTTATACCAGTTATAACATGCTTAAGGAGACTTAGTCTTGCATAAGATGGATTCTTGGTATATCAAATGTAAGGCATACTTTAACAATTTCTACATAGCTGTTAAATTATAAAAAAGATTTCTAAAACTATAGATTTTCATTTGTGAAATTATATCTAATTCATTTAACTATTTTTACCGAGACCATATTTTATGGTCGTAAGTTATACTTGGAGAGATAAAGTGTAATTAATTTTAAAAAAATATTCATCATAAGTAAGTAATATAATAATTACATTCCTAAATAGTTTGAGTTCTTAAAGAATTCATATTTAAAAAGTAATTATCGTAAAATCAGTGAAAAATGATATTCAACAAACTACATGTAATAAGTTTATCAATTGTAGACATGCGTCTATACCTTAAGAAGCGTAACTAGGGTTCATGGTAATTATATCAAACAAAAGTTAGGAAAATAGTTGCATCATTAGTTGTCGAACTCTAGTTTTACAGAATAATGCACAATTCCGACACAAAATCAAAGTTATCAAACTCATTTTACAAACAGTTGTATTTGAAGTCAAAGCTATAAAATTGGACAATTCAGAGTAGAACGGTTCTATAATTACACACATGTACATGAATTGAAGTATAGATTTGTCAATCAATGCACAATAATATAATTTTGAAATCCACATTATTCAATTTAGGGCTGGGTAACGGCTGGGAATTTTGTATTGCGATATATTGCGATATTTTTAACTATATTGCGATATGTATTGCAATATTTTCGATGACAGTTAAAATGCTCTTTTTCTTATTTTATTAACCTTCATCTATAAGAAGAGTGTGTAAAACTATTATAAATTCCTTGTGACTAAAAAGTTCTTGTTGATTTCACTACATTTTGGAACGAAATGCAACCATACAACAGCAACATTACCGTTTGGTACTATTTGGCACGATTGAAAATGTTTCTAACCTACTAAATTTCATATTTTACTTAAGAAATTTAAAGCCCAAGCATTTTGCCGGTATATCAGTACTGGTAAAACGTATCGCAATACGATATTCTTTGTTAACGAATCACAATATACCGGAATATCGATATTATTGCGCAGCCCTATAATATTCATTGTCCATTTTTATGAGCCCTAATCGAAGATTCAGGGCATATAGTTTTTGCTCTGTCCGTCCGTCTGTTTATCTGTTCGCAAAAACTTTAAACTTGTCCTCAAGCTTTGAATAGTTGGAGCTATGGCTTTCATATTTCACAGGGGTATTTTTTGTGACGAGGCCTTCCAAAAGGGTACCAACAATTATGACTCTTTAACCTTGACCTTGGAATTTGACATACTTTTGAAAAACTTTAACCTTGGCCATGCATGTTTTGAATGGTTTGTGCTAGGGCTTTCATATTTCACAGATGTATTCCCTGTGATAAAACCTTCCAATGGGTACCAACATTTTTTTATCTTTTGACCTTGGAGTTTGACTTGCATTTGAGAAACTTTAACCTCCGCCGTAAGCTGCCATACGTGGAATCGGTGTTTCATAAACACATCTTGTTAAATCTAATTTTTATTTGCGAAACATTGAATATGCACCCTTCAAACATACTTTACACTAAGCAAACGTAAAACTATGTTTCGGTGATTTTTTTAAATGAATTTATAATTAAGTTTATAAATTACTTTCCCTGGGAAATTTATTTTTCTCTTATGTTTTTATTAGCAATTTTAAAGCCATCAAGGTTTTAAAAATGCACATTCTGTGAAGTTTAATGTTTCTTTTTTTATGCTTCGAAGTAAATTGAACTTGTTTTGACAGTAGATTAATTTAGTGTGTAAATTCAATATGACATCTTTATACAGACACAGAGAATGAAAGAAATATGTGGATGACCGAGGCATATCCCACAATCAAACTGTTTTGCCAGAAGCTTGGTTACGAGTTTCAGGTGGTGGACATGCGCTGGGGAGTCCGAAATGAGAGTGTAGACGAACACAATGGTACAGAGATGTGTCTACGAGAAGTGCAACAATGTCAAAGGCTTTCAACGGGGCCCAACTTTGTTGTAAGTTCTAACAAACAAGAATCACAGACTTACCCAAAAAGCTAAACATAAAATATTTAGTTTGTGTACATTTACAAATAATTTCCTGACTTTTACAGCTGTTAATAAAGATCGAAATTCAAAAATTATGGTGGATATTTTATCTCTAAACAAGAACTTTCAAAACATAACGTTGTACTCACTTAGTCTTTCAAAAATCTTCATGTATTCCTAGCTGTTTCTAGGCGTTTTAGGCAACAGAAAAATTACTTAGATCTCAAATAGATCTTTTTTGAGACGATAAATAGAATTTATTGTCATTTTGTCTTGGCTTCCATAGTTTTCATTTCTGAAAGCATATTGTTTATGATTTTTCTTTTAGTCCCTTCTGTCACATCGATACGGATATAGAAATCTACCAAGAGTGATAGAGGCTTCCGAGTTCGAGAAGTTGGTAGAAGCTGTCGACCCCGAGCCCAAAAAGGTCCTGCTCAAGTACGAAACTTAAATCTTAAATACACTTCGTTTCATAATTGTTGCTTTGTATGTAAAATTAAGGAAATTGAACATTGAAATAGTGGAAAGAAACTATGTGTTTTTTGAAGATGGTATCGCCGTGACGAGAACTCTGTGCCGCCGGTTTATGCTCTTACACAAATTAGCAAATTTCTGCCTGATTTCTTGTCAACTGATTCTCAAAAGAAGAGAGAAGCAGCAAACCAATTCTGGAAAGAAAATGACATCATGCAAGATGCCTTAGAAATGGCTGCTAATCAAGTCCTGGGACCGGAAGATGCGCGCAGATACGTTATATCAGGTATATCCCCAAGAAGGTTCCTATACAATGAGCTATTACCTGTACAGGTACATGTTTGTCAGAAAAAAACACTTATGTTAAATAAATATATCTTTTTGAGGTAAAAAAAATTTCAAAATGAGATACTTTGCTTGCGATAAAAAGTTTTAAACAACATTGATCAAATCATCAAGTTGTTTTAAAAAATTTAACAAAAGTTGGGTGCGTCGATTTACCCAAATGGAACTCAAATGGACCCAAATGGACACAAATGGACCCAAATGGAAACTCAAATGGACCCAAATGGAAATCAAATGGACCCAAATGGAACATTAAACATATATTATCGTATTCTCAATTTGTTACTAATTTAAAATGATAAGAATTATGAAATTACAAATGGAGAATATTAATTATTCATTTCTAATATTGTATTTTAAAATACGAATTAATCTTTTTTCTATTTGTAATAACTTTTGCATATCATTGAATACAAAATTGAAGTATTTCATTTTAAAGTTTATATAGTTTTCATGGCTGTAGGAACGGGGGGGGGGGGGGGGGGGGGGGGGACTGGGCCTGTGCCTCCACCCCCACCCCCCAATAATTTTGCCGATATATAGAATACTAAAGAAAATTAATTCGTATTCTAAAATACAATATTAGAGATGAATAATTAATATTCTCCATTTGTAAGTTCATTATTTTCATCATTTTAAATAAGTAACAACTTGATAATACGATAATATATATTTAATATTCCCTTCGATTTCCATTTGGGTCCATTTGATTTCCATTTGGGTCCATTTTGATTTCCATTTGGGTCCATTTGGGTTCCATTTGGGTCCATTTGTTTCCATTTGGGTTCCATTTGGGTAAATCGACGTGCCGTAAAAATAATGAGACTTTTTTTTAGAATACAATACAACCCAGCATGTATTGTATACTTATTCAGTGATACGTTATGTAAGTTTTATTTAGACTGACTACTGTGTGTACATTACAGTCACAGAAAAGGAGACACAGATGGGGATTTTGGAGGCTGAAGATCCAGAATCTCACTGTCTTTGGTTTAGAAGAAGAATCAAAGGCATTGAAGATTTGGAACCCAGTACAATTGTTTCTCATTATATAGGTATTATAGGTTTATTTATGCAGTAAGTCATTAAAAATTAGTGCTTTAATCAGTAGTAGTGTAAAATTAAAGGAATTTTTAGGTTTACTAAAATTACACAAAAGAAAAATAACCCATATACAATTCTTGTCCATTTACGTCACTTAAGACTGATGTACGAGTGTATGATACATTTATGTTTGTTTTTCATAATTCCAGACAGCACAGGCCCTGAGGAAAAATGGAGAAAAAACAGAGCTTTACTAAAAGAGCTTTGTGACAACAGGATTCCAGAAGTTCTTCCTGCTAAAAATATACACCAGTATGAAGTGGAATGGAAACAAGGTTATTGTTCTGAAGAGTTTATTGGCCTAAAGGAATTGATCTGATTAACTTCATTACATTTAAATTCAATCTTGTAAAAGTTTATTATCCCCACTTAAATATAGAGTACAACAAAACTTGAAAAATTAAAGTGGTCAAAATAAAAAAAAATACTTCTTCATTTCACATTAAGGACATACGCAACGTACCTCACCTACGGATAATTTTTCAAGATATTCTTACTTTAAGATTATAGTGCCATCAGATGTTCATAGACAAAAAATCAGCATGCATTACCAGGGGTTTTGAAAGATATCAATTAATTAAAATTCTTGTATAATTCAAAGAAAAATATACAAAAATTACTAAACAAATATTCTAGATGTTTTGTTTATCCAAACTTGTTTTAGAAGTGTACAACAGCATATATTGACATTAAAATGTAGCAAACAGTTCCTTTAAGAATTGGAACTCTTCAACTCCAGGGAAAAAGACAATAAAGTTCAAACTATGTTGCATATGTCCTTAACTGTAAAAAAAAAATTGCAATGAATCCCACTTAAACATATTTAAATTGTGGAAATGCTAGCTTACATTTCAGAGTGAACATTATTTTAACGAAATCTTTCTGCTTTTCATTTCATACCATACCACAAAGTTATTAACATAACTATAAGTAAAATACATTCACATATATCACAATCATTTTCAGAAAAAAAAACAAAAAACGACATGATGTCTTTGAAAATAATGAACCTCATATAAGGAAAACTCATTCATTTTGTCATTCACACTATGATTATTTCATTATGGGATTCATTCTGACAATATTATCTGGGAATTTATCACTCAAAATTATTCCTTTCTCTCTGTCTGTGTCAAGTTCTTCAATGAATCCAAACCAATAGATGACCATTCCTGGACCAAACCTATTCCAGTAACTCCAGAACTGATCCTTTAGATAACCCTTATGACTGTATTCATCACCAAAAGAGGCTTTACTCTCTATCCAGTTGATAACATGACCATCTACACTGAAAGGGACTTCTAATTTAACATCAGGAGTCTTATCAAAACCCCTTGTTCTCATTTGATCCTCACCAATATACGCTAAATTCAATGAATCTAAAATTCTATTAAGTTTATACTCATGCTCATTCCCAATGGATTGTTTAATATTGTCAACATGTGGTCCATAGTGATCATCACAGACAAGACATTCATGGATTTCTGATGCCAGTAATGGGTCGTTTATGAGAGAAGTGTCTTTCATTAATTTAGTAACATAACTCTTTGGTGGGGCATCTCCTTCATATTTTGTTGCCGACAAATGCCGTTCGAGTACCATTCTTGCTAACAAAGCAGGTGACAACTCCACCTCATCAGCTAACTTTAATAATACGTGTCGTTCTTTGTTGTTTATCCTTCTCAGATAGTGTTCATAGTATAGTTCCATTCTTGCTGGATTATAATGAATATGATGTGTTTTTCTCATTTTCTTTTGAAAATCTTGAGCATATATACTTCCAATCGTAGATACGGAAAATTCCGGGTATTGTTTCACGATCAGCGGTAAGCAATCCCTCGAGTTGTGTGTGTGCATAATTTCTATAATGGAGTTGTACACTGAGAGTTTCATTTTCACAACAGACACTTGTTAACTGACCTTACCTGTAAATAACTGTCAAATTTCAACTCGCCCTACGCGCCTTTCTCTACTTTCACTTTCAACGAATCATAGTCACTCGAGTGCTTGTCTTAGGTAACTGGTACATAGACACATTCTTGTTGATTATATATCTGAACACTGATATTAAGTATGCCGATTTACAAGTAATATAAACCTCCAATATTTGATATATACAAAAGATTTTAAAACATATTTTACTTTCTTTACGTTTAAATGTCAACAATTTAATAAAAAATGAGAATTGAACATCAATATGTTAAAAAATAAATTTTTATTATAACAGAACTTATTAATATTTCAAATAATCTGCAGGAATCAACTCAAGCAATCCAGATCACAAGAAATATTTATCAAAAATGACTTCGGATTTTACGACAAGAATGTGCTCCATGATCCAAGAAGCGATTGAAGAACGAAGAAAGTCGGAGAAAGGGGACTCTCTGATCCAGGAGATCATCAATCATACAAGCTTCTGTAAAACCAAGCTGGAAAATTTCCACGGCAGGGAGAAAGCGCAGGAGGTACACCCAGCGAAAATAGATGTTGTTTCTTAATATGTTTTGCATTTTTGAGTGATATCACTGTTTTCTTAAGTGCTATACACTCTTTCAGTCTTTGTTTAATTTTAATTTTCGGACAGTGATTCTCAATGCTTTATTAAAAGAAATAATATTTGGTTTTTAAAACTTAAAGACACATACCACAAACACAGTTTCTTATCTCCCACATATTGTCTTTAGAGAAGTGGACAGGCTTTCGCCTACATCCATGAATGTAGAAACTTTACAGTAACAAATTTTCATATATCTCTACAACTTTTCAAAAATTAAGTTGAACTCTATAAAGTTACATTTTCCCACTTTTCACCAAATTGTGTGGCTTGACCAAACATAAAGTTGTGTAACTAAACAGAAAACACTCATTTAGTGAGAAGGTTCTTATTAAACTACATTTACTTAAGTAGAAATATTTGAATTTCGGAAGAAGAAAAATTGTTTGCGTTATTTATCCCAAACCTTTTAACACTGCAGTTTAAGAAAAATAAATTGTGATCAATCTAGTAAAAGAGCCAGTCAACATCCGCAAAGCACCATGTTTCGCCTATTTAAAACTGCATTTTAAAATGGGACAACTGATCCTGTTCAATGAAGCCCAGCATTTAAATGTAAAGTAAATGAATTTCCATTTAAAACCTTCTCTCTAAAAGCAGTGTATAAAATGGTTTTAGAACCCTGTTTGATTTTAAAGATCTTTATCAAACCTAAAAGTTGATTGTAACCAAGGCTACATTACCTATATCTGTGCATATAGAATAAAATTTTAATATGGCGCATTTCAACAGAATTTTTTGAATTTAATGACACAAAACTTGTGTACCTGTAAATGAAATGAAATCTTATATATTTTATCTGAATGCATCTTTTACAGAGAATAAAACAATACCTGAAAGACAAGAGCTCCAGAATTCTAGCCATTCACGGATCTTCCGGTAGTGGAAAGACAACTCTCATGGCAAAAGCTGTCGAAATCTCAGCAAATTCTTTGCGAAAAACGATGAATAAGACGGTGGCTGTCGCTTTCAGGTGCTTTGTTTTTTTTAATGGCAGATTCACTGAAAAATCAGGTTTGACACTGTAACGGTCATGATCAACTTTAATGAAATGTTTTTCTCCTTGAAAAAAGGTTTGTTGGAACAACCCCTGGTAGTTCTAATGTAAGCGCTCTTTTGGAGAGTCTCACAAAACAGATTACATTAATATACCAAGAAGACCTTAAAGTATCAGAGGTAAAATTGCAGGTTAAATCCACTATTCAAACTTTGCATTTTTTTTTGATGTGAATGTAATTAGAATCTTTTCATTATCTAGGAGCTAAGAGAACTTGTTGAACAGTTCGAGCATGTGCTACATTACGCAAGCGCAGAGCTCCCTCTGGTTGTGATGATTGACTCATTAGACCAGTTGGATCCTGCTAACAATGCCAGAAATCTCTTCTGGCTTCCCCAGGAGCTTCCCCCTCATGTTAAATTAATTGTTTCTACACTGGAAGAGGACATTTATGAATGCTTTCCAAATCTTCAGGTGAAATAAATTTCATTGTACACGAAAAACCGTTGCTTGACGAAACTGGCATAGTTTACTAAATTTACATTTCAAATAACTTTTTAGGGCTTCCTTCCTCCAGAAAACCTCTTCTCCATACCAAAGCTTCCAGCAAATGACGCCAGCGGAATTGTAGACCACTGGTTAAAAAGCAAAGGCCGTTGTATCACCAAAAGACAACGACAGATACTATTGCAAGCATTTGAAAAGTGTCCCTTACCGTTGTATCTGAAGATGTCTTTGGACGAAGCCTGTCGCTGGAATTCATTCTCTCCAGACTCGGAAACTGTTTTGGAGAAGACGATTCGAGAAAGCATTAATGCTCTTTTTCAACGTCTTGAGAAATCTCATGGAGTTCTGATGATGTCACGATCAATGGGTTACCTCACTGCAGGTATGAGATTCCTCACTGAACACAGATATGCACTGTTTGTTAAGATGACTTTTGAATATGCATTGATATATTATTGTAGCTAGGAATGGTTTATCGGAATCTGAATTGGAAGACATTTTGTCATGTGATGATGATGTTTTGAATGACGTATACCAGTACTGGAAACCACCAATTAGACGCCTTCCCCCTCTGATGATGGCAAGACTACGGACAGATCTTCAGCAATATCTTGGTATTTTTATTTATTTTTTATGCAAAGGAGCACTAAACACCAAGTCTTTACATAACTTCCCTTTCATTTTATATTGATTTTCTATTTAAATCAATTATAATGCCTTTCCTTCTCCGAATATAATGTATTTTAATTAAGTTCAAGTACTCATTGAGTCCTATAATGACTAAATATTTGAAGTTCAAATTGAATTCTGATAGGTTCTGTGTGATTGAATCATTATTTTCTAATATATATAAATTCTGGCCAACCATGTATAGGCTTCCGTGCTCTATGGTTCTTTATAAGCATGTAATTTGTGAAATGCATTTGTTAACAGTGGAACGGGGTGCCGACAACGTAACTGTAACCAGCTGGTATCACAGACAATTTCTGGAAGCTGCTGAAAATAGATACTGTCCACCAAACGATATTACATTCCTTCACAGCCAACTTGCAGATTTCTTCGACGGAAAATGGGCCAATGGTAATTATTATACATATACATCTAGAGTCTTATGTTTTTACTGTAGCATATTGGTAACTAAACATCAATTACAAATGATATCAAACAGAAAAGAAACCATACAAAGACAAGGATGGGAAGAATAATGAAGAAATTCGCCATGTGATGTCACAACCTTTGATGTATGGCGACACCTACAATCTCCGAAAGCTGAACAATCTGCCGTATCATCTGATCCATGCAGGGAATGTTGCAGCTCTGAAAGAAAAATGTTTATGCAATTTTGAGTTTCTTCAGCACAAGCTTTTGGCGACTTCCTGCAGGTATTAGACTATTGGCAAATGAGTTTTTTTTTTTGGGGGGGGGGGGGGGGGCGTTTGCAATGAGTTTATTTGTATCCTTTCATTATGCCATTCCAAGTTTTTCTTATGTTTAGCCTCCACCCAAAAACCATTCTATCTATCGGAAGGGGGGGGGGGCAAAACCCCCCCAAAAATGTTACAGTAATTATAAAATTTTTCATGATCATTTGATTATTTTATTCACATTGTAACAAAATTAAAAAAAAACAAACAAACAAACAAAAACCACTTTAGTATATTAAAATCAAAATCTTTGGTTCTAAACTTAAACAAGATTTCATGTAAAAATTGAGATCCAGATCAAAATAGAGTAAAGTATTAATTATGTTGAAAATATTTGTATGAGTGGATTCTTTGATGTTTTTTTTTTTTTTTTTAAATTTTCATCACTCACCTGAAAACTGATGTAAACGTAGAAAAAAATTGGAATGACCTTAAGGTAATACTTATTGGAAATGACTCATAGTCACTAAAACATGAAATATGAAAGTACAGTCATTGAAAATTACAAACTGGTCATGATTTTTACAGAGAAGTAATAGACGATTTCGATCTAGCAAGGCGTTCATTTCCGAAAGAAAAGGACTTAGAATTGATTGGAGAAGCTTTTCAACTCTCAGAAGATGACGTCATCTACGATCCCCTTATGTTTCCATCGCAGATGATAGATCGACTTGCTGATGAAAAGGTACGCTTTTGTTTTTGAAGTTTTTTTTTTAAATTTCAATATTTTAACACCAACAGAATGAAGTTTGAAATGTTTTCAAATCTTGTGCAGATTGTAAAAGATTTCGTAACACAATGCAAAAGCTGTACTCATCCTCATATCCGTCCTAACCAAGAGGTTCTAATAAAACCCGGGGGACAGATGCGCTGTGCTATGGCGGGCCATAGGGCATCACTGAAGTCGCTAGACCTGAAGCAGGACGGGAAAACGGCGGTTACCTGTGAGCAATGGCAACTGAGATTTAACTTACTACTTGTAGTTCTTGATGATTAGTATTCATGGTCTAGACCAAGAAGAAAGATTCGCCATGGTTGTATTCTAAATTTCTCTTCTTTTTTCTAAGGTTGTGAAATTGGTGATGATGAAATTCGAACTTGGGATGTGACACGTGGGAAACTTATTCGTACATATGATGGATTAGGAGACAACCCCTTTTCAGTTCACTATGTAAACAACGACAATTTCATAATGATAAACTACATAAATGTCATAAAAACAATCAACGAATTAGGAGAAGTAATATACACCGTTCAACCTCGTTCTCAACAACATTCACTTGTCGTGGGTGGAACCGGAAACACGTGGTTAGGGTTGTTCCAGGAGCAAATGGTTGAATTATATGATGCAAAAAGCGGGGAATTAAAACACAAGGTTTCTAGCAGCAATATGTCGGATCTAAATTTTGGTGTCGATGGAATTGCGGTGGGTAAGTTGTAGATAAAATAGACACATTTTATTTTCTCAAAAATTTATAGAGATTTAAGGTTGAATAGGAAACAAACCACCATTACCTGAAACAAAAGGAGAGTAGTATGCACAAATCTTATTATTTATTGCTTTTGATAAATACTCTTCACATAAATTGGTTAACAATGCAAAACTGAATTTTAACCATACTGTATGTACGCCACTAGACCAGCTTAATATTTTTACGGTTTATAGCGTCTGCGTACACTGTGTGCGGGTAGCATAGACGAAAAGCGACACAAATCAAATTTTAATAATTGTAAATTAATATTTTTCCTCTTATAAGCATATATACATACATATATATATATATATATATATATATATATATATATATATATATATATATATATATATAAAACACCAAATGGCATATTCATATATCACGTACCATTGTTATTCAAGGTTGGATGAATAATGAATGGATGAATAATGCACCATCTTCTGTGGAAACACAAATAATTGTAAAGACTAAACCGTTTACAGTATTATATACTGTTTAATCTTTGTTTTCAAAACTTGACGCCGCACGACCAATTCATTGTTGGCGGGGGGGGGGGGGGGTATAAATAAATGTTGATTCATACAAATGTATAGATTTCAACCCGAGTTTGGTATACTTTTACAGTTAGACCTAGTTATAATTCTAATGGTAAGCAGTTTATTATATACTTGTATAATTAGCTTGCAAAATTAATTCTGAATATTGTTGATATTGCATGCTTTTTTTTCTTTTATTGTTTATTAAAGGTGTTTGAGCACTACTGATTGCTTTTATTATGTCCATACAAACATGTAGTTTGTATGTATGTTCAACTGAAATCACAATATTTGTTGCTTAATTTTTTAGTCATTCTTATTTTTCGGTAAGTTCTAACATTCATGTTTACAAATTAACAGCTTTTTAAATTGTAGTTGAACAATTTGGAATCCATTGTGGGTAAAAAAAATCACTTTTTAAAATCATTTTTAGTAGTATTATTTAACACTTTATTCTCCCAAACTCTGACTTTTTAAAACTCTATATTATTTTCAAATCATAGGGCCTAAGACTTAACCCATTTCTTATGGCAATACAGGTTATAATATTTAGAGAAATTCTGTCATAATAAACAATTTGTAAATAGAATAAATTCTGTGTTGATAAAATGAAATACATGTAGTTTAAGTTCTGATATGATATTATAATGAGTATTCGTTGATAGTATTTTCACTGCTTGAAAAAATAGCTTTACAAAACTTTACTTGCAAAGTAAATCTCATTAAAGGTGCTCCAAAAAGCAAGGTCATCTTTGTATTAACTTTACAAAAAGTAAAGGTGAAAAGGTACCCTTTACTTAAAAGAAAAGGTAATTAAATTTAACCTTTCACCTTTAATGCTGCATTAAAGTTGATATATATATATATATATATATATATATATATATATGAAACTTTTTTAAATCCTTATTTAAATACTGGCCTTTGTTTAATACACTCGTACTTAAGATTTCAACAAATGGTTTTTGACTTTTAAAATAAATAGGTATCTGATGTGTCTTTTGTGTTACCCCCACCTCGATCTTACTAAAAATACACAAATTTTCAAGCGTTATATCAATTTCCAGTTTATTTAGTATTAGAGATTGTCATCTACAAAATATAAAAAATTATACTATTTTTGTATACTGTAGATGGACAATCAAAAATGTAAAAATGGTATCAGATATCAAAATATAGATATAATAAACTTTAAAATTCCCTATGACTTAACCTTTAACTCATCTGATTTGCTGATATCTGATAGATGGAGAACTCTTTTTTTATTTACTTCTTGTGTAGATGTACATGTATTGAAACCTTTTCTGCAATAATTTCTGCTTCATAAATATCTACCAAAAACAGTTACAAACATTACAAGATTACATCTTTTACTTGAACAGGCAATAAAATGACAAAGAATAAAATTAAAAAAGATTAAAATACAATACAATATTATTTATCCTTTATGGTGCATATACATGTGCTAAAACTTTGTAATTTAAATGGAACTAAAAATGCCATACTCAGTTATTACTCAAGATCACTGACGAGAAACTACACAACATAAATCAGGCAAAGTACTAGTATTTCCAACTTAAACTATTAAAGGCTATCTAATGAGTATTTATGTACAGGTTAATAATGTTGACATCTTGTAAGCATAATGGTGCAATTTACATATTCACAAAATTGCTTAAACACCTATTAGAATATAGGTTCAGATGTAGTTTTGCAAGATGCATAAGTAAATGCATGTGTCCAGCTTCACGCAGTGAGCCTGTTTGAGCTTGACTTTATACTTTGGACTAAATGTTATGTGTATTGTGTCTGTGGTAGGAGATTATGTTTGCATACGTGTCCATCTTCACACGCTTTGGAAAATATGTAACTGGTTGTGGAAGATGTTGTATGTTTGCATATGTGTCCAGCTTCACACATTTTCATGTATGTGCTCGACTTCACACGCCTTGGAAAATATGTAACTGGTGTTGTGGTAGATGCTTGAGTGTTTGCATATGTGTCCAGCTTCACACATTTTCATGTATGTGCTCGACTTCACACGCCTTGGAAAATATGTAATTGGTTGTGATAGATGCTTGTGTGTTTGCATATGTGTCCAGCTTCACACATTTTTATGTATGTGCTCGACTTCACACGCCTTGGAAAATATGTAACTGGTGTTGTGGAAGATGTTGTATGTTTGCATATGTGTCCAGCTTCACACATTTTCATGTATGTGCTCGACTTCACACGCCTTGGAAAATATGTAATTGGTTGTGATAGATGCTTGTGTGTTTGCATATGTGTCCAGCTTCACACATTTTCATGTATGTGCTCGACTTCACACGCCTTGGAAAATATGTAACTGGTGTTGTGGTAGATGCTTGTGTGTTTGCACACGTGTCCAGCTTCACACATTTTCATGTATGTGCTCGACTTCACACGCCTTGGAAAATATGTAATTGGTTGTGATAGATGCTTGTGTGTTTGCATATGTGTCCAGCTTCACACATTTTCATGTATGTGTTCGACTTCACACGCCTTGGAAAATATGTAACTGGTGTTGTGGTAGATGCTTGTGTGTTTGCATATGTGTCCAGCTTCACACATTTTCATGTATGTGCTCGACTTCACACGCCTTGGAAAATATGTAATTGGTTGTGATAAATGCTTGTGTGTTTGCACACGTGTCCAGCTTAACACATTTTCATGTATGTGCTCGACTTCAAACGCCCTGGAAAATATGTAACTGTGGTTGTGGTAAATGCTGGAGTGTCTGCATATGTGTCATGCTTCGCACAGAGAGAAAAGTTTTGTGTGCTCTTTTCTAGAAGATAATGATTATTTAAATATACTCCAAATACATCCTCTAAAGAAATGGATAATCATAATGAGTTACATACTAAGTTCCTCAGTGCACAATATACACAATTTTACTGAAAATTAAACTTGTGCAAAAACTCTCTTGCTGAATGACTTTCATTATTATAAATGCTTGAATGTTCATCTATATATATTCTTGATCATGATGGCATCCATATTTGATTCCCCTCTCTGTCATCTTTTCTTGGTCACCAATTAATTCAACAGTAGGCTGGGTACTTAGATCTCTCAGGTGTTGGACAAAAGAAGTGCTAATAATAAATGTAATCTTTGAAATTATAGAGAATAACATCCATTTCTTTTCCAGGTTTGCATTAATTAGTTATCTTTTGAAATTAAAGCACTTCTGCAATAACCTTGAAAACTTGCCAAGATACGTTAAATGTCTGTAGCATGCTTTAACTACTTTAATTTTATTTTTGGAAGTTTAGAATGATAGAAAAACAAGTTCAAAAATAAAATGTAAAAGATCTTAATAATGAAGATTCATTTACACAATGTTATAACACATTGAAGTCAATTCCTCACCTGACTCTCATAATTTATCTTCATAATGGAGTTGATTCTATGATGATCACTTTCAACCATTTAAAAGAACTTCTTCATCTCAAACTATCTGAAGGTCATCCATCTACCCAACTGCCACTCACCTAAAGTGTACCGAGACTTCTGACCTGTATAATATCAAAATTCAAGATTAAAATTTTAAAAAATCCCTTCACCACACTGGTCTCTTTAGAAAATGTGAGAAAATAATTTAAATACTTTTCTGAAGATGAAATAATGTAGTGAGTAACAATGTTTAAAATTATTTTGATCACTGTACAGTGATAATGTATGAAAAAAGTCATGTCCCTTGTATTTGAAAAAAATTCCATTCTTAAGGACATTACCCAACATGGAAATAATGCACATTTGTCTCTGGCACAACCAAACCACAAGAGACCTTTCCATACTTAGCACCATGCATTAGCTCTCCACTCTTTGTTTCTACAAAAGATAAATTATGAAAAGGTAATTTTTTGACAGCTAAGTCCGATTATTTATTTTCCAGTCAGTGATGAAAAGAATATTTGATTTCCTTAATAATGAGGGACAGATTATTCATGTTTATCTTAAATGAACAAAATTTGACACCCCCCCTCCCCCCCCATTACAAAAAGGAAAAAATAAACTGACTCAGAAACTCTTATTTCAGTGAGGTAAAGGGAATAATGGCATCAGACAAGGAAAGATTATTAATCATTTTTTTCAGTTGAGATGAGATTATATCTTTTAAACATTTTTGAGGTTAATATATTTTAACAACCCCCCCCCTCCCGCATCAAACAAAAAATAGTCGCCCCTTTATTTAGCTTTCCTAAATCTATAACAAAATTTTTATTATGATTTTTTTCCATTTTAATTTATTATATCCTGACACTGATACCACCACTATATAGTAGATGCAACAACTTGAGAGGTGACCCCTCTTCTTCCCTCCCTCCCCTAGATGTTTCGTCTAAATGTTAAACGACTGTTGTTCAATATCTTGGAAGACAGAAAACAGTTATACACAAAAAATAAGCACATTTTCATTACCTTGCAGTCAGTGTCGAGTGACACACGTAAACAACATCTCGCAATCTCTTTGTTTATTCTTGGCGGAATTTTTGTTGCCTCGTAGACTGGTTCCCATACATTGCAAATGCCCTGAATAAGTCCTACGCTTATTAGTTTTGTTTATAAGAGGTAATATCAGTAATATATCCCGTTCATTTGACAACCTTTACTTTAAAATACTGAAATATATTTTATCATATATACAGATGTTTTCCACCTCAGTATTGTGTAATCCTCTTCATCCAAGTCTTCTCGAATACAAAACGAACGATCTACTTTTAACAGTAACCCAAATATGGCACTGTGTATTCCAACGGATAGCCAATCATTTCAAATCAAGTTGAGCGGGTCTCATCGGTATTTTCTGGTATTTTTGACGAAAATATGCAACCAGTGATCAGTTGAATTGATACCTTTTCATCTACCAGAAGATTTAAGGAGCTTATTGCTTGGAAAACTGTTCGAGCTCCCGGGCTGGCATGCACTGCAGGTTTGTTTACGTTTTCCATCTGTTTTCAGCATATATTGTGAAACATTGAAACTGATGAAAGTCAGGGAAAACTACGCTAAATATGTGTTTTTAGATAAGTAACTTGATAAACTGGGGATAATGTTCCATTTTTTTCTGTAAATGATTATGGATTAAACAAGACCAAGGAAAACAATTCTAGGTCACAATTTCAGAATGTTTAGCTGTTTACATTAGTGCTAGGAAAAAAATGTAGAAGCCAGGGTATGGCAATGTTTTTAATAGAGGACAAGTTAGGTTATATTTTATAGATATTATTTTGTATTCTAAACCATGTCTATTTTCAAAAACAGGTACAGTGAAATCAATTATGCAGGTTCTTGAAGAAAGTCATGGATGACAACAATGTATGATTTACCAGACCAAGGGATCCCAATGTTTTTTTGACGGTACTTGTACATATTAGTTTTTAAAAAATCAATAAATAATATCATAAAAATGTTACTTAAACAATTATTTAAATTATCAATTGCTTGACTTTTTCGGGAGTCAGTATAATCATACATTTCTGTTTTCAAAAAATGTGTTATTACTTTTTCCAGGCTCCAGCTACTCAGCTTACTGTGAGAAAGTTAACACCTTATTGACATATCTTTCATGAAGAAGAAATACTTGAGAAGAGTTCAAGAGTTTAATTTTATAGATGGCAAGTGTTGCTTAGAGCTAAAGTATTCTTTAATTGTGAAGAAAACAAACATAAGGGTGTTCGGCAATTCATAACTATTAACTGTGATTGCATTGTGTATTTTTAAAATCATTCTTTGGTATGCTTCAAACTCAAAAGTATTTATGAAAACATTGACTATATTTATCCAGATGTATGAAATGTTTATCAAAGTATAAATTCCATTTTAGCATGTTATCTTCAAAATGAGGGACCTGTCAACTTTTACAATTCCAAGATCAGGAAATAATTCATGAGCAGCAACATGCTACTGGGAGAAAGGTACATATATCCTAAACCATAACTTGAATATCATACTATAGCTCTATAAGCAGCAACTATTGGTCTTTTTGTTACCTGATGACTAAGAAGGAAAATGGAGTTAATTATATGTGTTCAGTAATTATTCATAGATACTGATGCCAGTTCTTTTTCACAAATTATCTTGCAAGTAAGACAAACGTTTTCTCAATTCTGCAAAAGTATCTTGGCTACAGAAGGTCACGAGAAATCTTATTTTACTCCTACATTAGTATATTTTGTAAATAATCCTTTCAAAAGAAAAATTAGTGATGATAAACAAAGAAATTACAGAGTTATTAAATTTTAATCTTAGGGGAAAGTTAAGGGCTAGTGGCCCAGTCCATTTATATCATAAAATAAGTTAATAGCAACATGTTCATCAGTTTGTATCTGTCTTATTTAATAAGATTAACATAGTCTTTTTGGTAAAAATAAAGGCTGACATTAATGGTTCAAAATATTTTCTTTTTGAGGTTAAAGGTCATGTATGAAATTTTTATCTACATGTATTAATATGGTTGCATCTCGTTTCAATTTTCATTAGTCATGATACTGTGAATACTGATATCACAGTTTATTTGAATTTATAACACAGATGCCTATGAAAATATTCATGTCACTGAAAATATATATATTTTTTTTCTTTTAAGGAAAACAGTAAAAGACTGCCTGCATGAGAATAAAAGTTTTGGACTCTGAAAAGGAATATGTGACAAAATATATATTTGGACAGTTGTTGATTTCATCAGAAATGCATATTGAGTGACATAAAAGTGGAGCACAGTTTCATGTCAATTCAAATCTTTAAATTCAAGGATGAACAATTGGTTCTTTATAAAACAAAATGACATGTTTGAAAAGGATTTTAGTGCAATGTACTCTGTCCTGGATACTTATCTATGTGTATGGGCTTTGCAGGATAGACTATGTACAACAGATACTGTCAAGAAATTTGATGTTGTTGATTATATGTTTGTATAAAAATGTTTAGTATAGTAATAAACAAAGTTTAAGTCAATCTGTTGTTACTTTGTATATTAAGTATCTTTTGCAGTTTCAATTTGGAAGGAAAAGCTTATTTATCATATACACAAGCTTTATTCAAAAGAATGGAAAACAGTAATTAACTTTTGTGGCTATTAAAGATGTTATTTAATTAAATTTAATATTTGTAATTATCAGATTTAATGTACCCCAAATACTGTGTTTAATGTTTGTAAATATTAACTTTACTTTTTTGTAAAGTCAAGACAATGTGGGACATTGCATCATATTTAAGTGCATGTAAAGTTAATGTAAAGGTTACCTTTTCCAACTTTGACTTTTTTCAGAAAAGCCAATTAAAGGCATTGTAAATAATAAATTTACATTATCTTTACTTGTTTTGTAAAGCCAAATTTTCATGCAGTGTTTAAAGTTAATCCATATTTTAACCGCGTGCAAATTTTTCTTTCTATACAAACAGTCTCTTGTATTTAATGTGAGAATCTTGCTCGAAGAATTCAATGAAAATTATAGACTGGAAAAGATTTTTTGTTTAATTTGTTTTTTAAAGACAAGTAGGGTATACAAATATAAATGTAATATTTGCCTCCGTACAGATATTGTATCTTAACAAACAGATGAAATCACGGTTAAGTTTTATATAGATAATATTGCAACAGTTGAGTGATATCCATAAAGACTGAAAATATTATACAGTAATTGCTGTTTTTGAGGTCAGTACGACGATATCAACCTTTAAAAGTGGTAAGGCATTAAAATATAATTTTAACTGATTTTTTACCAAAAAAAAAAAAAAAAAAAAAAATAATAATAATAATAATTTCATAAGATTTAAGATTTTTCTCCCATCGAGTAGCGCATCAATTTTTTGGCATATATTATTAGACCACAAAACAACCATAAAAACTTAATTTTGTAAGTCAACATATTTTTTTAAAGAAAATTAATTTTACGGGCTGACTGCAGCGACGTCTTTTAGGAAAATTACAAATCTTGATTGTTTTTGCCTTCAGATGACAAAAATGTAATGAATTGTCAACTTACTTTCTGTTAACGTTTTATGATCAACTTGTGAAAGCCCAATCTGATTTTGCTTCTCAATGAGAGAAGAATGCCCATAAAATATCGAATGAAGTTTGTCAGGGGTCCCACGTCCCCAAAGACTTAGGATCCCTGACGTTGCGAGGATGGTCAATTAGAGATTTCGGAATCTTTCAATCATATATTAAAATGTTTTAGCACTGCATGCAACGTGGCATCACAGTCATAGACTATGAATCTAAGATCACTGAGTAAGTGGAGAACATGAATGAATCTCTCCTAGAAAGCTTTAATACAAAGTTTATTTTCAATGCTTTCAGTCACGATTTGTGTTAAATATAATCTTTAGTAACACAGTTTCTTGGTATACGTTAATATATTTTGAAGGACCCCTGATCTATAATTTTCTTAAAGGAGCACACACAAAGAAAAGCTTGGTCGGTATTTTTATAAATATCAGTGGTTAAAACGGAGACTTTTATGTAAATTACGAGACTGACTTCGCAGAAAAAAATTAGTTAATAATATTGTAAATAATATATAGCAGCAAATGTTTCTTTAAGGCGTTGCAAATGAAATAAGATGTGCATGCATATTCTTACAAGGTGTCAACCACATTATACCCCTGCTGCAAAGTTGTAAGGAGAAGTACTATGCATATGATGTACATTTTTACTGAATCAGTAATTCGTCATGTGTGTTTGTACATAGTCGCAACATTTAGATAATTTTCCGGCTTATTTCAAGGGGAATCCAAAGCCAAACTAGCAGATAATGCATTTAATACTTAATGAAATGTATGCCTTCACTGTGCCCCCGATGAAGGCATCACTCCCGTAAGGACAACTCTAGGTTTATTTCACGACCATGATATAGGAACATGACGTCATGCCATGCTAAAGTTAGCTTCCTTTAACATACAATATAGTTGATTTTAACCCATGCAAACCACTATAGTTAGTAAAAATGTTTTTAAATATGCTTTAATGTTTTTATTAATCTTGCAGGTTCCAACAATTACATGGTGGTGACAGATTCAACTCAGCAACACATTTCTGTGTTCAGTCTGAAAAAGAAGTCTTTCGTATGCACGCGTCAAGTGTTTACAGATAACGAAAATGGTGACCCATACACAGTGGACGCCATGGTTATTTCAGCAGATGAGCGTCAAGTATGTTATTGCGATTGCTTCACAAATGACCTTCACATTGCAGACATTAATACTCTAAAAGACAACAAGGTGTATAAAGGTAATTCAAGATGGTTTAGCCTATGAGAAATATACTTAGAATGTAGAAAATATTTATAATAATTGTTATAATACTGGAGGGGCTGTGTCAATCGAAACAATAGTTTATTGTACTTTGAAAGATATCTTTGATCTAAATCAAACAAAAATTGAATTTTTTAACTTCATCTGTTATTCTCTTTTTCAAAATTATAGGCAATGAAGATGATTATACCTTAAATTATCACGTTTCCAAAGACGGAAAATCTTTGTACTGTGTGTCAAATAGAGATATCTTGATATGGGACCTGAAATCTGGGGAGAGGAAGTACACATTACAACATTCTTGCTACGTTATTGACGCTAGGACCGTGGATTTCCGAACAATGGTCACAATTACAGAGGATAAAGTTGTCTATGTTTGGGATATGACTCGTCCGGAGAAAAAAGGACATAAGGAAAAATTTAACGTTGGTCATAACGTTTGGTAGGCATTTCTTAAGTACTCCTTGCCTAATGAAAAAAAAATATTTAGGGTCTTCTGATTTTTCAAATATATACACAAGAAAGTTGCCAACGCGTCATTCGGTAATTTCATCTGCAAATATCATGAAATATGACATCTGCCTCATCGTCAAAAGAGTGAACTATCATCTAGCCTACTCAGTTGAATTTCCCGATGTCTTTATTTCAACGCAACACCCTAAAATGGCCCTCTTTCGCGCAATCTACCGAAGCCGATGGCACACCTTTTGTGGGCTTATCTGAGGTTAGCGGTTACCGATGGTGGTCAGAGGAGTTGAAACAGCGCTGTTGACCCAGTCTCTCAAACAATATCAAGCAAAACTTCTAACATGGAGCCTAGTAGTCACTTAGTGTTTGGCACCCGTAACCGGTTTATCTCACTTCCGGTTACCACAATTTTACGATACAATTCTGCGATAGTCGTGTGATGTCTATTAAATGACGCATTTACCCACAAAAGACCTATTTACATTCCGTAATTTAGTCAAAGTACTTTTCAACCAATAGGAAGAACAATTTCTGAATTGTTTTTTTTTAATAAACATCTTCAAAGGAACAACTTGCAGACATCCTACCAACTGTATACCACGCTCTTCGGTGGTCAAACGCTGTGTATATAGTCATGTTTTTTCTGAGTTTTTAAAGAATGCAAAGATAAAGAACACGATTTCAAAGGGGGAAACGGAAATGTATTCCTTTAAAACGATGACACGATTTTCATACATTTCTTTGAAATGGTTATGCTTCACTTATCATTTATTTATTTACCTGTTTGGGCATTTAAGGATCTTACTTTTAATCATAGTTACATAATTTTATATCATATACATCTTAAACAACTATTGAAAAGGTAAAAATTAATTTTCTATAATTGTGCTTTAGCAATGTACGTTTAAGAGCAATGGTTGTAATCGATTCAGAATTTTGTGAATTCATGCCAGCATTTATATGAATATGTTTTAAGTAATACAACTTCAAAAATATTTGAGGCCAAATTACAAAAAGCAAGTTTATTTAACATTTTCTTTTAGGAACATTATCACCCTTCCTAATAGTCGTTACGTAGCAGCGCTTTTCAAAAAGACGAGCCAGTCTACGAATGACTTTGGTCTGATAGTTTATGACCTGGTGGACATGAAAATTGTTCGACAAGCAAACATTGTAAGCCTATAACATCTCAAAGTATACTTATTACATGTTACTTATAAATTTATACCATTATTTTATATAAAGACATGTAAATAAGAGTCTTAATCCTGAAGTAAATTGTCTTTCGACAGATGTATTGCTACTTACGTAGTTTCTTATTTTGCATGGTGTAATTGAAAAACATAGTTAACATAAATGATAATTTCATTTAGATGGAAACACCGGGTGTGTTCGAATTGATTGATGATGAACACATTCTGATGAACATGGGGAGCAGTAAGATTAAGATAGTCAATATAAATACCATGACAGTGGCGCATACATTTCAAGGAAAAATCCCAAAAGTCGATGACCCACAAGTCTGTGTTATTTCTGATCATAACAGTAAGGACCATTTTCAATTGCTGAATCTTTCCAACTTTACCCAATCCTTTATGATACATAGAGAAGAATTATATAACCATACTTTTAAAGTGAACACTGGATTTCTTTTTTCTTCAGAGGTAGTTATGCAGACCAAAGGGTCGAGTCATCTTAAAGTCTATGATATCAACCACGAGGAAACGGAATGTATAATCAAAAATCCCCTCTCTAATGAAAGAATTGAGAAAATATACGTGAGTATCAGAAGCCCTTTTTAATTGATATTGATATATATTTTGGTATCTGCTATAATCTCTTTTTTTTAATTATTTATACAGACAAACAATAAAACTTTGAAAGTTGCCGCTTTGACAGACTACAAGAACATAATTGTTTTCAACATAAGAGACAAGACAACGGAAGTGGTCACGGCGGCTGACGTTAAGGTTGATGAGCTCGGAGAAATCGTGGCAGTGGCCTCTTGTGGTGACAATATTGTCTTAACGGGTGCAAAAAGTTTTACAATTCACGATGAAGTGACTGAAGAAATTTTGGGTTATATTTGGAACTCTAAGAGCGGTAAGCAATTTTCTAGATTTTATTTTTGTCGAAGAGGGTGGCGAATTTGGATCTTTCTATTGATGATGTTCATTTCAAAATTATTTTCTTTGTAAACTTATGCAGGAAAACTAGTAGCAGAACTCCACGATAAGGAATATCAGATTAATTATGTGTTGAAAGAGAATCAAAGAGGGTTGTCAATATCTGTAGATGATGTCATGTTTATAACTGACACGTGGTTTCTGACGTCAGACGATGATTACATCATGCGGGTTTGGGATATAAATACCGGTACTTACATATTATGTAACTGGTTTTACGGCTATTTCAAACCTTTTGGGAAAAATAAAATCAACACCTTTAACCTTAATCTTTGGTGCTTTGAAAGAAATATAATTGTAATATGCAAAGATTGTTCTTGAAAATTGTGTAAAATATCTGATTTTTCAGTTTTATTAGCAAATCGCAAGCAGAATATACTTTCTCCAAAGAACTGTCATAATGTATTGTATATCTAAAATAGGCACCTTGATGAAGAGACTAACAGGTCACGAGTCAAACATCGAGATGTTTTCTATTACTGACGGCCCTTTATTTGTGTCTTATGGATGTTGGGAGGAAGAAAACGCCATTAAACTTTGGTCAACTGAAAGTTTGGAATGCATTGCTTCGTTCAAGTTAGATAGTGCGGTCAGTATTTAAGTTAACCCATCATTATTAAAGAAAACAAAATTAAAAATTAAGACATCCTCATAATATCTATATCAGTATGTAGTTGTTTTTCTTTTTACTTGTATTAATAAGGAACAGTAATTTAAATATTTGAATGAATGACGTTTGAAAAAATTTGTGATCAGAAATCCCCATCAAAATCATGTTGTTATTTTTTTAAGTTTGGAAAATTAAGGCTGTGCAAGGACGGGTTAACGTTCGTGACAACAGAAATCAATCCCTCACGTATTATTCACTGGAAGTTACATGGTGTAGAGGAAATTGTGGACTTGTCCAAACTTCCCAAGAAATTTGGTGGAAAGGGTACGACAAACACATTGAAATAATAAATTGTCAGAAAAGTCTTTTGAAAGTCTGGATACTAATATATTCAAATTAATAAAAGAAATATACATAATTAAATGCTTTCATTAACAGTTCTGGAAGTAGACCTGGACCTTCAGTCAGTAGAGGATTATGAGGATGATCCTAATGATCCTGACACTGATATAGAGGTTAATGATGATGACGACGATGAAGAATTCGAGGAATGTGATGAGGAGATATGAGAGATTTTTCATGGTTCATCTCAAGTGTTATTCTTATGTCACAAACAGATATTTCTTCCATACCTACCTCCATACCTATACCTCGTTGTCCGATATTAAGCTATACAGAGGTTGTGGTCTCTCTTATTGTAACAACAATTGATGATACTAATCATCTTTATTATGTTTATTAAAGAATAAAAAATCAGAAATAAGGCAAAATAAGTGACTGAACTTTGTATATTTTCTATCCTTTTTGTTTTTTTCCCTGAAGCATCATCATTTAAGCAAATGCTTTTTAAGGAGAAAGTTCTTGCAACAAAGTTCAATTGCAAATCGTATGTACTAGCAAGCGAACATGTATTTACAAGTATTTCTGAAAAATTAATATTTTTGTTAAGGAGACCCCATATAAGGATGATGGGAGAATTCATTTCTTTTACAAAATCATCATCTCTAGAACAACTAGATCAGGAATTCCATGATGTTTTCTTTGAAAGTATCTGCAAGTAAACAACAATAATAAGATGTACAGGCTACAGGCACCAAGAGGTTAAAGATTGTGACTAAATATTGTACCCAATGTTTACAAGTACGATATATAGGAGGGATTCTAAATGATCAGTTGTCTAAATTGATACACAGAAATCCTAAGGTAGTCAAGCTTCAATTTGAATGGTTGACCGGTATGTTGTTTTACGTCCCATTCGAGAATTTTTCACTCATATAGAGACATCACCATATCCCGATGAAGGGCTTCAAATTTAGACCTATTCTCGGCATTTAAGGCCTTTGAGCAGTGAGGGTTCTTTAATTCTTTATTTGGACAACGCCTAAAGTAAAACGTGACCTCGGTTTTTAAGGTCTCATCTCCAACTGGAAACAGATTAGTATTTTTAAACTATTGTTTATATACTTAAATTGCTTTACTGCAAAAAAAAAAAAAAATATATTTTTTGCAAAAGCAATGGTTTGGTCGGATACTCATTAGTTGAGATTTCATGCGAAATTGTAAATGCTTCAGAATTGTTTTGAAGTTTTCAAAACCATTTGTATTTCATATACAGTATATGATAATATGAAAAATTCTACATACCTTCCTGGACGATTTTGCACGTTTTTTTTTCTCAGAGACACGCTGTTAAATGTAAAGTTCCTCTGTCAAAAATGTTTATAAGAAAATTGAAAATATTTTGAGTAAATTGGTGCTATAAAATCAATTTAGTATCATTCTAAGTGAACACAATTCTTGTTTGTTTTATTTGATTTTAGAAATTTCTAACCAAATTCGTATTAGACCTCTTTCATCTTTCTTGAATTTAGATCGACGCCTTTTGTTTCTCTAGTAAGCTTTACATGTATTTATTTCACGAAAATGTGACCTGGAATTTCTTTTCTATTGCGTATACACTTGTACGTTGAAGTGCTACAAAAATTATTTTACTCATGAATTTGAAAGTGATGGACCGGAGTTGAAATGAAGCACTACCCTGTAGAGGCAAATTCATGCTTTCTCACAACTATTCATAATAATTCGTATCCATGTCTAGTATTCTAGCTTCATGTTCATCGTTTTCATATATATTTTAAGAATCTTAAGATTTTCTTTAACACAATTATTTGACAACTTGTTCTCTAGATGCTTAATTGTTTGTCCAAGATTCGTAGGGTGAAACTATCCCATCTAGCTTATTTTGAACACCTACATATAGATATATTCCAAATAAATTCATGAATATTTATAAAGCAGCTAGAAAAGTTACAGTTACATATGAGAAGGGAAATAGGGGATCTGGAATCTTGCTTGCTCCCTAAATGATATATTTTAAACGTATAATGACGCTATCTTTGTTGACGGACAATGGACAACTGCTCCGAATATTTAATATTTTCCGATTTACCTCTTAATATTCGTCCTCCCTCTGCTCATTCATATAAAACCTTTCCTTAACACTTTTGATTATCCAAAAAGAAATCTAATTTATAGCCTTCAGGTTACCTTGCGGCCAAAATTTGACAGAAGTTCAACTTGACAATTTCGTAAAGGGATAATTATTTATACTACTTAGAGTTATCTCTCTTTTCCGAGTATCTATGAACCTTAAGAGATTGAGAAAAGCGGAATGATTCCATCTCCTGCATATGTGTATTAGTCCTGGATGGTGACCACTCCTTTTGTGAAAGTCTACCCAATCTCATCAGAAATTTCTCCTCTATCCCTTTTCATTGCCTGACGCCACGTGCGTCAGGCAGTATAAGGATTAATTTTTCAGCGATCCGAAACTAAGCGATCATTCTTAATGAACTAGATTTTGTGCAAGCTGATTTACATGGGAATTTGTTACCTGCATTTAAACAAATACAGCTTGCAGAAAAAAAGAATCATATAACTGATGCAAAATAATGATGTGTTTAATTCCTTCAGTTTTTGTTGCATGCACATGTTTATTCTTTGCGATTCTTTGTACGGACATGTCCGTGTAACATTTTTTCTGCGTTTCTAAACTACTGGATCAGTCCATTTGCCTTCTACGAAAGGGGTGACACAATCATTTCGCGCCAAATATCTTCGCGCCTTTTTCTTGGGTTGTTCTATTGAATGGGTGTAATAACTTCTATGGAAATAATAAAGTTTATTCTTTTAACTTGATTCTTAAGCTCCAGATTTTTTATTATAACAGTAAATTTTATCTCATTTTTAAAGAGAACACATTGTATATGGACAGGCAACACTAAAGCAACGGATATGCTGATTATTCTTACTATTAATCCCATAAGTGGACTAGTCTAATCATAAACAAACTCCCTCCACCTAGTAAATGGGACATCCCTTCTAAATTCATTCTGTTTTCCACCTAGCCTTTCTTTCAATATTACATTTATTAATAACTTGATGTACGTTACAAGGTTAGGTTTTTAAAAAAGCTTAGAAAGTCAGCGAGTAGCAAATTATTTCATGCTTTGTGATGAACAAGGGTTTCCTTTTATAGAGTGACAAGAGTGTAGGTCAGTACTTGTAGAGGAATGGGCTTCACTATACCGTAAGGTTCTAAGTAAAGAATCGGCAAAATAAAGAAGACATCATGATCTGTACTGGTATTCATTTCATAAAAATCACGTTATTATAATTTTGAGAAAGGTCCTGAAATCGATTGAAAAGAAAAACTAAACAATTTCAAAACTGTATATAAAGATGTATTTTAAACTCATTTATAATACATGTATATGGTAAGATCATCATCGCGTGAGTTTTTTGTCGGGGGGGGGGGGGGGGTTAATAGTATCTTGTTTGTTTTGCGCTAGCTATAAAGTGTACAGGTCATTTACTTTGATTTCTAGAGCAGCATTGAAGCATTTTTGTCTCAAATACTTCAAGACAACTTTCCCAGTTAAAACTGTTCATAATTTACTTCATCGTCGAGAACGACGGAAAACAGACCAGTCTATAAATAGAGGCCGTCTCATCAATCTATCACTGACCAGGGAGTGTGCATGAAGAAGCGCGTCCTCTAGTAAGAGAGTACATATAATATGAATTTCTTTAAAACGAATCATCTAACTATTTTTCCCAGAATTATCAGTGGCGGATCCAGGAATTTCATAACGGGAGGGCGCAGTAGAAGGCAGTGGGTCTGGGGGCTGTATTGAAACCCCAGTGGGTCCAGGGCAAAGCCTTGATGGGGGTTCGACGGCGAAGCCCCCGGAAGCTGACGAATTCTTACAAATAAGAGGTGTTTTTTTTTAATTTTAGGATAATGAACATATAAGTTCTACATAAAAAAAATTCAAACGGGGGGAGGGGGCGCACGCCTGGCGAGCCGCTGCTGGATCCGCCTTTGATTATAATCTACGCTAGCGCACTTGCAGTTTCATCCCAACGTAACTAGTCAGCCCGTGGGCTAACTAATAAATGCCCAAATAGTGGCATGTCTTAGATATTCGTTAATCTGTAGTATTTGGTTATGACATTTGAGAAAGTCAATTGTACATCTTGTGAAATGAAGTATCGCAACCATGTCGCTCCTTGATGATGGAAACGTTTAGCACCTCTCTTGCATATACGTTCCATAGATATTGATTGATTAGTCAGGCAAGCTTTTTGAAAAGCTATTGCTTGTAAGAATGAAACAGGAAGCGGTTGTTCTTATGTACGTTCTGTAGATTCCAATGGATTTGGTACCTTGCGATTCACAGAACAATCTCTGCTTTCGGTCATTCCTGTTCCATTTGTTCAAATGTTATAACAGGGATATCGTAAAGCATGAGTGACCGTATCTAGTAGTGAATCATCGAAATATTCATTTATTCACACACGAAAAGCAAAAAACTAAGAGAAAAGGCTACTAACACACTCAAACCCCGTTATTTTATTGCATTACACGATGTTATCTGTAAACTTTTTAAGAATCACGCCCATCGGTCGTATCAATTAATGCATGAAAGTAGGTAAACGCATTATAGAGTTTTGTTTCATAATTTCTCTAAACGTAGAAAGTCTACCTATGTCAAGTAAACGAACTTTTAAAAAAAAACTTGTGTAATAATGTATGTGAATTTCTAATGAAAATTCAGTTAATTTTTTAAACGTAAATCTTGGTATACAGGTAGAGGAACCGCGTAAAGCATGCTACCGATTTAGTTTCTACCTCAGAGGGAACAGAAGAAGAAAAAGGTAAAATATACTGGATATACATGTAGTATTTAAATAATATTTTTAATCTGCATGTCAATTTAATTTTTTTTAACATTTCAAGTGTATTTGTACATTAATGCATTTTTGCACATGTGATATTCAGTGATTTAGTTTCTAGGACCAGAAGAAAGAAAAAATTAGAATATGTTGGATATAATATTTGGATTTTTTTTTAAATCTGGATGTCATTTTTTTCTCAATATTTTAGGTGTATTTGTATATTTATGCATTGTTGCACGTGAGATATTCAGTGATAAAAACAGATATTATGTGGGAACCAATACAATAAATTTCAACTCAATGATAAAATTCTCCTGAATGAAAGAATATTGTGTACATTAGAAAAGTATGCTCAAATTTAACCATAACATATAAATACCAATCTCTTAAACGATCAGATGTTATGATAAAAGCGTATACTCCTCGCTTTCTTTGGTTCTTTTCAATTCTCTGGCTCAGCGTTATTAGGTGTGTTGTATTGCCGTTTGAAATTATATGTTTGACATCTTTAAAATATCTTCTTAAGAACCACTAGGCCACAAAAGATGAAAATTATGTGATTGATTCATTACATGGTGTAAATTCAAAGTTTGTTCAAATCAACAAAGTTATACATAGGGATATAAAATAATTAGAAAAATCTTTAAAACTCTTCTTCTCAAGAACAGCAAAGCCACGATTAGTCATATTAATGTAGAATCATCCTCAGATGTGTAGATTAAAGTTTGTTCAAATCATGACCTTCTGGGGTAGAGTGGGGCCACAATAGGAGTTCATATTTGTACAAGGCAAATATGTAGGAAAGAAATTCCTCTGATAAACCAGAAAGCTATAATGACTCATAATGATATTCATTTGCAAGCATCCTCAGGTAGTTAAAATCCAAGTTTGTTCAGATCAGGGCCCCCGAGAATAGGTTGAGCCTACAATAGTGGATGGAAGTTTTACACAAGAGTATGTAGGAATGAAGCTTTTCAAGAGCAGCAAGACCACACTAAGTCAGACCTAAGTTTTGCTCAACGATACCAAGTCAAATTTTACGCAATGAAATTAAAGATGGGAATTTAAGCCAAAAAAATCTGATGAACAGCAGAGCCATACTGACTCAGGGGAGAGTCGTGACCTATGGGCGTCTTCATTTAAAAAAACAATTTGATAAGAATATAAAATTGCATTCACGCCATTTGTCGAATAAGAATTATTTTTAAAATAGTATTTATTCAAGGATGACATGACTATTTCAAAGTATCAAATGCAGAAATACCCAGACTTGACAAAATATATTTTCTTTAGATCAAGGCTTGTAACTGCATTTATTTTATTAATCTCTGAGAAATTAAAAAAAAAAGAAGAGATATAGATAAAAGTAAAATGAACGTTTTGTGTGATTTTGGTTTACGAAATGTATAAAAATGACTGCATTATCTTGAGTGTTTATCAGTTTCTTTTCTTGCGGATGTTGTTCTTCCCGGACATAGTAACATGTTATATTGTCATGATTGTGTTTATTTTAGTTATCAATTTCATTTGGATTTGCAGAAATATTGTTAATTATGGCATGTCTTTTTCATTAACATCGGGTAGGACATACAGTCTTTTTGTTATCCTCTCCAAACAACATTTGAAAAGCATTTCAAGCTTGAGCATGATCTTCAAGTTGTACCAAACTGTTTTACTCGTATGAAACACAATTAATTCATTTTGCCCAGGCATATGAAAAAAAATACCCATGAAGTTTTAAATCTGAACTACATATTTATAATAACATTTCAACAACATGTATAATTTATTTTATTCAGATACGAGGAAACTGACAATTATCTAGGCATTCATTTCCTACTTTATGCTTAAGATGAGCTTAAGGTAGTGTCGTTTGACTCCAATATTACTCCTCATCTGTTGAAGTTCATGAGTATTTTTTTTCAAAGGAATCTTACAGTTAGAGAAATAGAAATTATGTAATGAAATATGAAGATAACGACCTGTAGTCTATCATGGGAACAGAACAAACACGGACCTCTGAAAACATCAGAGGTGGGATAAGTTGCCATGGAGGAGTAAGCATCCCCTGTTGACCGGTCACACTTACCGTGAGCTCCTTGTCATGGTCGGGCAAACGGGAAAATCCGTATACATTAATTTATGGCCTGATAATTTGTATGAAAAACGTCAATCAACATCTACTTTACGATAGATTGTATTTGCTAACAAGGTCATTGCATCGACCATAGAATTTGCGAAATGTTGACTTTAAACAAGATTGTTGATATCCTTGTTTCATCGACTTATTTGTCAATTATAGCTTGCCTCCTTTTTGAAATTGTTCGTACATAGAACATTCTCTTATGTATCGAATCAACTGGAATACATAAACTCCATATGCAGGTGATACATAAACAGTATTGGTATACATAAATAAGTGAAGTTGACGACAGAAAAGTTGAAGTCATCACGTTTATCATTAAGTTTTGTTGTTAGTTGCCATTAATGTCTGTCTCTAGTAAAATATCCAAACATGAAACATATTTGTCAGACTCTGTGGTGTTTTTTTTTTACTTTGAGTTCAGAGAGATATATCGAATCAACGTAGGAATGAAAACGAATATTATTAATTGAAAAAAATGTCGTCGATACATGTGTATCTAAATGTTGAATTGAAGGCCATAACAAGTGAGTATTTCAATGTAGCCTAGATGTTGCTGAACAAGAAAAGTTACTCATTTTCAAAAAATGCAAAACGTGTATTCTAATATCCAATAACAAATCCAATGTATATAAAGGATATCCTGTGTTTTTTGATTGGACATAATTTTATCTAATGAAATGTATTTTGTACTCTAAAAACTTTTGGAAAGGGATTACATGCGATTAATAATATTATCAAATCACAAAACATGGAGAATCTATCCATCACATTTTTACCTTTTTTTTTATAATGGTTTTATGTCCTTTTAGCTTTATCAAGAACTCGCTAGATGTAATGAACCAATAAAAAATTATTTTAAGATTTTGATAGCATCTTATATTTCATTGTTTTTCTTAACTAAATTTTTTGATTCCATGTTTTAAAATGGTGACAAATTGCTTTGTCGCTGTTTGAGTTAAGAATTTTGGGTATAAAAAATAACATTGCGTAACTCACTGGATAAAGAAGTGAAAAGTTATGAAAATATGAAAAAAAAATTCAAATACTATAAATAATACGCTAGGCATAAATCAAATTTAATCCGCATTTCTTTCCTTACTTTCAATCATTTTAGCTGAAGCTATATGAAGCTGTTCAAAAGTCACCTATGTTGTTAAAAATCTTACCTTTTCTGCTCCTGGTTTCAACATCCCAAGGTAATTCCAGTTACATTGTTTGTTTTTTTTTGTTTTTTGTTTTTTGTTTTTTTGATATTTAAAACTGATACATTTTAATTATTTGTAACTACAAAGATGACTTGAAAATCCAAAAGGTTTTTTTTTTTAATTTGTTAATATTGTGTTCAACAGGAAGTAACAAGTGCACTTCCTGTCAAATATTTCAATTTTTAATATCATTTTATCCGTCTATATGGTTCATGTGACAACATTTAAAAACTTTTTTTTTTTTGCTTTTCTAGGATTTTGGTTTTTCAAAAGCAGAAAAGTTTGTTATACTCACATCGGGTGTTTCAGTAATGCAGCTCCATTTAATAATGTTATGGGACTCCTGCCCGACTCACCTAACAAGATTCAAACAACCTTTATGTTATACACGAGAGAAAACCGGGAAACCCCTCAGATTCTGAGCCCCTACAATTCAAATACCATCTCCCGATCAAATTTTGATGCAAGTCGATTAACAATATTTATCACCCACGGGTTTACTGACACTACGAAAACTGGATGGGCGCTGAAAATGAAAGATGCGCTTCTGGAAGTGGTGGGTTACCTCTATTAAGAATACTCAAATTTGATTGGCTTGTTAGAAGGCCTTTTAACTAAATAATGACTCCAAAAAGTACCGTTTACAGCAATAATGATCTAGGAATCATTGCACATGGGGTATAATGACCCGTTCATTATAAATAATGACCGCTAAAAATTACCTGTTAATCTAAATATTCCATTCAAATTAAAAAAAATTATGCATACAGTAATGATTGTTCATTACAAAAAATGCAGTTATAAAAATATGTATAGTCTTTTTATGATACCATTGCTTTAGATGCGTCATAAAATTTATCGTTTTCATTGAAATTTTCGTTAGACCTACGTCAAATTCAACGAATGCAGACTCGGCTCTTTTGTACAGTAAAAGTCTGCACCAGATTGTCATTGTACTCGGAAATGGTATTTGTGAATTTATAAAAATGTATGTTACTGACAATCACAGAGTGTTTTAATAAATCGGCGGTGCAAAAACTTACAAGACTTGCAGGCGAAAAGTAAACAACTTCACTAGTGAATCCCCATCCCGATGGAACACTGATAATAACAGTTCGTAGGTCTAATACACAATTGATTATTTTAGTAATTAAGCCTACAAAAATTGTCTTAACTTATATCGGTATAATAAAACAATTGATTACCTCTTAAATGAGTTCTACATGGTGAAATAAGGACCCTCGACCTGGCCCACTCGCTGACCTGACCGCTACGCGGCCTCGGTCAGGTCAGGTCACCTCGTGGGCCAGGCCTGGAGGTTATAAAATTTTTGGAGTACATGCTCCATGCTCAAACTCATACTCCGTTCTCCGATACCATAAACATACTCAAAATTTATATACAACTTAGAGTGGAAGTTTGGAGTATATGAGTATGGTTTTGGAGTACGGAGAATGAGTTTGAGCACGGAGTACGTACTCAAAAAGTTTTTATAACCTCCAGGCCAGGTCTCGGGTCCTTATTTCACCATGTTAACCTTATAAGGGGTAATTAATTGTACCCGTTATAATCATAATCTTAGACAAAGGAAGTTATACTGAACAATTTTCGTGATAATATTGTACATGGTTTTGTTTAGGAAATAGAAATTGTACAAGTTACTAATCCTTTTTCTAAACTAATTTTATTACATCAGATACACCTTTGCTTTCTCATCCAATCACCTGATCCGTAGTTTCCTAATAATAGAGTCATGTTTAAATTTGATCCAAATTGATCAATTCTAAATTTAAAAATTAATATTAGATAGTGTTAACTGACACTTTTAGGAAGATGTAAACGTGATACCTGTCGACTGGTCCCCAGGAACTAAGGGCTTCAATTACATGAAATCCAGTGCAAACACGCGCGTGGTTGGAGCTACCATTGGAAACATGCTAAAGGCTTTGTGGGACACAACTAATATACAGCTTAGTCGTGTTCATTTGATTGGTCAGAGTCTTGGGGCCCATATCATGGGGTACGCCGGTGACTGGACGCGTTCAAGCATTAATATTGGTAGTATAGGCAGAATAACAGGTAGCAAATGCTTACTAACGATTAATAGAGTTTTTGTGTATATGAAAAAGTTGATCGTCATTTTGCTAATAAATGACCATTTTCGATTCTAATATGTGTTTGAGTATAATAAGTTGAAAATCAAATGGAGCAGAATCATTCAGAGGAAAAGTCAGTTGACAAAAATAAAGTTTATGGTCAAACACCACTTTTATCGTTCTTGTATTTGTACAGTTGGTTTTAACTTTCCCTTAGTGGCATTGCTTTGGATTTTAGGTTTAGACCCAGCTGGATTACATTTTGAAGGTTTTGACGTCAAAGTGAAATTGGATGTCTCTGATGCCAGCTTTGTCGATGTCATTCACACGGATGCGGCCTCTATTATGAATTTTGGTAAATAAATTATCTTGAATGAATTCATCAAAACCTTTTTTTTTCTTTAATTGTATCAATAAATATATACCTTTTTTCCAGGACTTGGAATCAGCAGTCCTAATGGACACGTCGATTTTTATCCCAACGGAGGTAAAAGACAACCGGGGTGCAACGCTTTGTGGAAGGTAGTGTGTAGTCATATGAGAGTTATTGATTACTTCATAGAGTCCATCACTTCCTCCTGTGAATTTAAGGCGTTTCCATGCCTAGGCTATTGGGATTACTACTTTGGAGGGTGTAGATCGTGTCGCAATGGCTGCAATAGAATGAGTTACCATGTCGATAAAAATGTACACGGCAATTCTATCTGCAAACAAAAGCTGAATATCCCTTTTGTGAGGAATGATAAGTTTGCCTACGTTTTTACCGCAGGAAATATCTTCAGACCTTTGTTGTGGGAGAGAACACAGACGTAGGTCTGCTCAGCAGAGGGATTTGTAGAACTCTGAAATTTTGTAAGAATTCAAGTGTTCTGACTGTCAAAAAGATCTGGATGGTGACTGATTGAAAAGAATATACTTGTCCGAAAAAAGAGAAATCGTATATTCAGTGCAGAAAAAGCAGTGAAAACCCCATTTTAGGCTACTTCTTGCTCAAATGCAAACGTTATACTGTACATTATTTCCATTCGTAAAAATAACGAGAGAAGAATTTTTGGTGCTGATCAATTTGTAAAATTGCGCTGTATAATTATTGTATCATTCACTATTGGATTACTTTTTTATGAACTACATGTAGGGATGTGGGAAATCTTAATAAAAACAGAATTTTTTTTAATTTTATGGTAGGATATGCGTGCATTATAAAATACTCGGTATGTAATTTTCGTAATCAAGTGAATATGGCGATGTAGTCTAATATTTCTTTCCTTTAAATATCCTTATTATAAAAAGATTCAAATGTAAATTATTCTTGCTTTGAATTTTTAAATCAAAAAAAGAAGAAAAACAAACAAACAAACAAACAAACAAAACAGTAATTGACACTTGAACACCACCAATGGAAAAAAAAAAATTTTTTTATGTGTTTTTGTGATTCGATCGTAATGTATTTTAGGTAATCTTTGTCTATTAATAATTTTATTGTTTTAAACTGTAAAATTCATCTCCTTAAATATATGAAAAATAAAAGATGAACAAGGGAACAATATTTTGTTCTTCACTATAACTACTAATGACAGAAGTAAATGTTTGTAATTTTCATCGACGAATATAATTAATTAATTGTTACATAATTTTTTTTCTCATTATACATACTATACCGGATGCAACGGCATGTTATCATATTGTCCGCGTGCTTTGGTTTTCACTGGCTGTTGATACTACAGAAAAATGTAATTAATACCACCTCATCAACATTATCAGGTAGGTCACTTCGTCTGCTTACACATTTATCACTAAACATAATTATAACAATACCCTCAACTTTTATATTCTTTTTAATTTTACATTTCTCCTGTAATGAGCTGTGAACGATCATTTCAATCTGTGAAACTGTGATTTTGGAATTCAGTTCACGTGTTTATTCCCACAATTTTATAAATATTTCTGATCTAAAACTTTCCCTTAAAACATAAAATAAGAATTTATATATTAATATACAGTAATAGGGGATAGTAACAAGGATGTTTTGTTTTTGTCTTTTGTTAAAGAAAAGAAATAACAAAATCAAAACTGAATATGTAGATTGAACTTTAAAACACGGTAAGCATTCTGACACATAAATTATTTAAAGGAAAAAATAAAAAAAAATCACTATAAAAATCGTAAAGAATCTTTTGGGACATACATGTATATAAACATTAAATGTATATCAGAATACAAAAGCTGTTTTGCATTATATCAAAAAAGGTCGATACACAATATCGTAATGGGAGATGGACACGAGAAAGGAAGAAGGAAGGCATAATTATTTAATTGATATATTAATTATCTATCTTTAGAAAGCGAATGTGGTTTGCAAACTACTAATGCGTATATATGACATGGTAACGCACTTTAACTCTATTTTTTTTCAGGTTATAGATTGTTGATCATTGATGAGACCATGTCCATTACGTTAAAAACCTCACTGATTCTGCTCCTGATCTCATTAAATCAAGGTAACAACCATGAAATATATATACTTACTGCAGTAATCAGGACTTCTTTTTTCATGATCAATGCTTTAGAAATTGTTTTTAGTTTTTAATCTTCTTTAGAATTTTTCTTCTTTTTTTTTTTTGTTTTTTTTTTTTTTTTTTTTTTCTTTGTTTTTTTGTTTGTTTGTTTGTTTGTTTTTTTTTTTTTTTTGTTTTTTGTTTTTTGTTTTTGTTTTTGTTTTTTTTTTTTGTTTTTTTTTTTTTTGTTTTTTTTGATATATTGATTATTTTAAATTCTGATGCTTAAAGTTTTGAAATTACAAACTCAATCCTTTGAGGAAATGTATATGAACAAAAGTAAGTCAAAATGCTGCTAATATCTGCATATATTGTCTTTCCGTTTCATTTCCATTTCAAAGATTGATAATCTCTGATTAATTCCCCAGGTTTTTGGTTTTTAAAACCCAAAATTCGACAAGTTTGTTATTCAAACGTCGGATGTTTCAGCAATGCCAAGCCTTTCAATAATGCTAGAGGGATACTGCCCGATTCGCCGGAGAGGATTCGGACGACCTTTAGACTTTACACCAGACAAAGCAAGAAAACTGCCAAGATTCTGAACCCTTATGATTCAAGTACAATTTTAAAGTCCAATCTTGCTGCAAGTCGACTAACCATTTTCATTACCCACGGGTTCAGAAGCACCGCCAAATCTGGATGGGTACTCAAAATGAAAGACAAATTTCTCTGAGAGGTGGGTTAATCAGTTATGTATGCTGTCCATTTTGAACCAAGTTTAATTATAAATATAACACATGTAGATCGATCTATATGTATATATTTTATGAATTTACTATAACGTCTCCTACTTAAATTTTTACCATCCAAGTATATTTATCTCTAGCAATTGGTACATACTGTTCTACTAGTGCCGGTGTCTTTTAATATGTTTATCTTCCTTGTGTTTTACTGCAAATTGGTTATAATTAACTCAAATAATTTTATGTAATTCATATTTTCCCGGAATTTCCCCTAATCTATGATAGACTGTGTTGACAAACTTGTAGGATGATCTCAATATAATAACCGTTGACTGGTCTTATGGTACCAAAGGTCTTATCTATCGGAAATCTGCTGCCAATACTCGCGTGGTAGGGGCCACCATAGGGAACATGGTAAGGGCTTTGTGGGACACAGCCAAAGTAAAACTCGACAGGATTCACTTGGTTGGTCATAGTCTAGGGGCCCATATCATGGGATACGCCGGGGATTGGATACGTCACAAAATCAAAATTGGGAATATTGGCAGAATCAGCGGTACTTAACTTTCAATAAAGGAAACTTTCCGGAAAATAATGACATGATAATGTTTGCATAGTTTACTTTTAAAACTTTTGCTACAATTTATTCCTTAATTTAAAATATAGTCATAGTTGAATTGCTACTAAATTAAATTAAAATGTCTGTAAATTACCTGTCAATTATCTTATGTATTGAATTCTCTTTGGAATATTAGGTCTAGATCCAGCTGGCTTGTATTTTGAAAGCTTTAACATCAAAGTGAAACTGGATCCTTCTGATGCTAACTTTGTGGATGTAATTCACACGAACGCAGATTCTCTTCTCCGACTGGGTATGTAATCTCTTTGATAGCTATTTATTTTGAAAAAATGTTCTCGCGTGAATTGTATTCCAGTTGTTTATGGCCTTTTCAGGGTTTGGAATCGGGACACCCAATGGACACGTTGATTTCTATCCAAACGGAGGTAAACAACAGCCAGGATGTCGCTCGTTAAAAGTAGGTTGCAGTCATAAGAGGGCAGTCCAGTACTTTACAGAGTCTATTAATTCCTCCTGCAAATTCAAAGCGTTTCCGTGTAAGGACTATAAGGCATTTTCTAGTGGAAGGTGTAAGCCGTGTCACAATGGCTGCAACAGAATAGGATATCACGCCAGTAAGGAGATGCCAGGAACATTTTATCTGAAAACGAATTCTTATCATCCCTTCTGTAAAAAAAGTAAAAAATCTCCCCTATCCCCAAAAAATAACACACTCACTCACAGGCATTAAACGAGCAAAGAGGAATTGTATTAACTTGTGCTATCGCATACCATATGTCAAGCAAGCACATTGGATTGAGCGTAACTTAAGTAGTGATTCCTCGACCATTTCTCTTTGAAATTCTAAATTATAAAAATTATCAATCAAGCTAGATATAACTTAATTTTGAAATAGTAATTTATATTTATCAAAATATTAGAATTCCTCAAATGAGTTGTCGTATATCAGTCTGTAGATTCAAATTATTTTGAAAATTAGGATAAAATTTTTTAGATAAAAACTATATTTTGCAATGGAAATCAAGGAAAAAATCATATTAAATGGCCATGGTTATTCACTCTACTTCAACATATTCATTTTCTTTAAAGTGTGAATAAAATGAGTTGAGAGTTACATTCCGAATTTATTCCTCTAACCACTTTACGAACATTTCAAGTGGATTGAAATCCAATTCAGCCAAGGGGTAAATGGGCAACAAGGCTAGCCACAATCACATTGGCACTGCATATCCTGAGAGGTTTTTAGGAAACCTGAGCCGAAGGCTCAAGTGAGCTTTTCTGATCAAAAGAGTGCCCGGTGTCTATCTGTCACCCTCGTCTGTCGTTTGTAAACTTTTCACATATTCGACTTCTTTTCATGAACCACTGGGCCAATTTCAACCAAACTTGCCAGAAAGCATCTTTGGGTGAAGGGAATTTAAGTTTGTTGAGAGGAAGTGCCACACCCTCTTTCAAGGGTATATATTTAAGAATTCATGAAAATTTCGTGGCATCTTTTAAAAATCTTCTTCTCAAGAACCAGTTTTACATAGGAATGTATAGGAAATGTCTTTAAAAATCTTCTCGAGAACAGCAAAGCCATGCATATGATTAGTCTTATTATTATTGAAATATTCTCAGGTAGTGTAGTACCTCTCAGGTAATGTAGATCCAAGTTTGTTCAAATCATGACCACTGGGGGTAGGGTAGGGCCACAACAGTTTACCGTAGGGATATATAGAAAATATTTTTAAAAACCTTCTTCTCAAGAACAGCAAAGTCATTATTAGTCATATTAAAAAAGAAGTATCAAGTAGTATAGATTCAAATTTGTTCAAGTCATGACCCCCGGGGGTAGGACGGGGCCACAACAGTGGGTCAAAGTTTTACATAGGAATATGTAATGGTTAAGGGGCATTTGTGTAAAACGCATTGAAGACTTCAAATAGTGGAATGACCAGACAATCATTGGAATGGACAGGCCAAAGGGTATACAGTGTATAAGGCAAAGCTTTG